TTCAGAGTCCTGATTGGACTGATGAGGCTCTCAGTACTGAGACAGAGACCATCAACACTGACACAACAACTACTAAAACAGCAAACTGTCCCCTAAAAATTGTGTTTATATTAGTGCTGTCAGTTAAACGCGTTATTAATGGCGATAACGCAAACCCATTTTAACGGTGTCAATTTTTTTTAACGTGAGATTAAAGTTTTTTGGCCTAGCACACTTTCTAGTTTTTTTCACATGCTGTTGCAACAACTAGTAATGTTAGAAAAACTACAACACCACACCGGATCTAGCTAGACTGGAAACAAAACAACAGGCACGCCGTACACACTTGTTTAATAGTAGTAGACGTTACGTTTGAGTGGATGGTGAGCGCGAGACGCTGAAATGGATGCCAATAATATTCTGAATAGAACGTTTATTTTTAAAAAGTTGCCAAATGGTTCCATTGACAAGACCAAAGTCATCTATGTGTTTTGTTGTTGTGAACTGAGCTATCATCGCAGCACGTCCAGTCTGAAATATCACTTGATGGCCAAAAACACAGCTGATGCGAATTTTCCGCCCCCTCGTCAAAGCCAGGCAACAATGGATGATTTTTCAATAATAACAACATTTGCACAAAGCAAGCCAATCCACTTTTCCATGTTGATAAGAGCATTAAAATGAGAAAAAATAATGGGACAAAAAGAAATCAAGGGACATTTCGAATAGATAAAATGTGCGCTTAATTGCGATTAATTGTGAGTTATCTATGACATTAATGCGATTAATCGCGATTAAATATTTTAATCATTTGACAGCACTAGTTTATATACTATTCATTTCTTTGGCAAATTAAGTTGGGAATCATAATTACTGTATGGATTATGTTAATTGTAATATTTGTTGCAGAGAAAATTTTAGGTTTTGGTACTGCAAGTCATATAGGTTGCTGCAGGTAAACTTAAAATTTACCAGTCAAAAATATTTGTTATATATATATTGCTAATAACATATAACGCAGATGAATTATTTTAGTAAAGACACAGACAGACATTGTGTAGAAAGAGAATCTCTCATGGTTATTTTATATCACCACCCTGCTTAAGAAAGCACAGATATTACTGTATTTCATAAGGAAACATAAGGAAGCAAAATTCCAGTGCCAATTGCCAGAGGAGCTATAGAAAGCATCATGACTGGAAACATCACAAACAGCATGGGATGTGCACAGACGGTGACATAAGGACTTTGCAGCAGGTTTTTGGTGGCTTAACACCGGAAAGGTGTTGCAACATCTCTAATAACATGCAACACGGATACTTCTTAAGGCAAAAACATAGACAAACATTGTGTAGAAAGCACAAATAGTAGCAAGCTGCTTTTACTTGATAATCTGTGAGGGTCTCACATAAAAAAACACAGTATTTAAACCTGGTCCTATGCTGTGCATCCAAATTATTTATCCAATGACCCCAATTTATTTTCCAGCCAAACCCCAAATTTACCAGAATTTGGCACTTAGCGGCTATTAATTTTGGACCCTGTATAGAGGACAGGACTAACATGCCTCAGCCAAGGGTTTCATTGGTGGTTCAGTTAAGGCAACAATATAGAAGCCTGGTTCTAAATTATGTAACTTGATAACTCGTAAAATGTCCCTTTCCGTGGCATTGAGTTGCAAAATAGTCATATAAAACTATAATTTGTAGGAGAAAAGGTTGAAAACAGTACTAAAAAAGTAATGAAACAGTCATATGATTCAGACTTTTGTGTTGTATAATCGCAAGACTCTCATTAAAAAGTCAGACTGTACACTGTAGGGATGTAGCAGCTGGAAGCTAGCGGAGAAGGAATATTCTTGCATTCATTATGTTTGCATAATAATTCCCCTTGCCTTGTCTGCATAGTTAAACATTAGTCTTGACATCTTGTTTGTAAACTAAATAAACATATATTGCTACATTCCTTTTGCATTTCCTCCTGCTCAGACACTGACATGGACACTTACACCTTAGCTATATCTGCAGGCCCATACTGAGTAAACCCTGTGGCCACATACAGTACTTGCAGGCCTTTCTGTTCTTTGCTCCAGTTATGTCTAACTAGTGAGGGGGAAGCCCTGGTGTACCGCAGCTAAAAGCCAAGTCCCACCATGGAATGAATAATGAATACAGATTCCCCATCCAGTCTATCCGCATACTAGTTCAAAGGCGTCCTGCTAGTCCATGCATAAAGCAACAAGGCACACAACTCTATGCTAATGGGCCTCAACTGCAGGGGCTGGACTGAGCTTACTGAGCTGTGCAAATGTTCCAGAGCTGAGGATGAAGATGTCAGATGAGGAGGATGTGATGAGGAATTGCTTAAGTGTTTGTTGGGGGTGGCACGCATGGGCACCAGCAGCATGCTACACACACACACACACACACACACACACACACACACACACACACACACACACACACACACACACACAAATATACACCGACTCAGGAACTACTGGAAGCACAAGTTGTCCTAAAGGAAGCCTGGACATTTTATTGATGCTGAATGATGCTAACGACCTCCCCAGCACTACAGGACCAAGACGGGAGCATCGGGTGAGGCTGTCAAAAGAGATCACATATCAGTGCCACCCACTGAGCTCCATACCAGTTACTGCAGTCGGGCCTCAGGAATAATATAATGTACCACTATAAATAATTCTGACACATTTCTCCCTTTTGTCACACTTCACCCATGACGCTACAGAAACAACAATCTTTCTGCAGGCACTGTGTATATACTGTATGCATGTAAGTGGCTGTGTTTGTGCATGACTATGCAAGGGGCCAAATGCGTATAGTCATTTAGCCATTTTCCTGATTAGACTGAAAACAAAAAAGCTCTGGTTATCAGCAAAGGAAGCAGCACTCCGCTTGTGAACCCATCAAAGGGAAAATGTTTTTCTTTGCAAAAGCAAGCAGCTCAGAGGGGAAAAAACTGTAGTCAAACCTCCCCTGGGAAGGTACGGTATGTGTTTGAGGCTCTCTTTCTTTTGTTTTTCTTAGCTCATTCCCTCACTTCATCCTCTACCTCTGTTCTGTCTCTTATGCTTTCACTCTGTGTGGATTTCCCTCAGCAACATTTCTCTTTTGATCCCTTAACCCTCCTCTCTTTCTTATTTCCCCTCTCTACTCCCTTTATGTGACTCTTTGCATTTAAATCCATCATAACGCTGGTTTCTCAGTGTGACAGGAGCCTGCAGGAATCCTATTGGGAACATTTCCCAGAAGCCTCAGCCATGGTGAAAAGAAACTGACTAGCCAGCACCAGAGGGGCTCCAGTGAAAACTTCAAGGCTCTGGAAGCCTTCCTCAGGTCTGTGCTGTTGCTCAGAATAATGTTTTAGTAATTTCCTGGACATCAAGTCAAATTGTAAAGAGTTCATGTCCATTAAACTTTCTTTTTCAAGTTAAAAGAACTTCCATTTCTGGCAGGCGAGCTATTTAGGGGACCAGATCTTCCTCACATCAGCAGCAGAGTGTGGAGTGTCTCGTTTAATTACAACAGAGCAAGTGTTCAATGTCAGGCATGGGTGGAGACCACTGCCTCTCCAGACCCTGATAGGCCATCAGTGAACAGTAGAGGGTCGTTAGGAGACACTTGGCAAGACATTGGCCATTTGCGAGCTAAAATGAGCAAGATTTTGGGTTAGAACATTAATTAGGTGACAATGACATGTTCCTTGGCCGGCTGAGTGGTTGGCACTGTCGTCACACAGCATGAAGTGCCTGGGTTTGTGTGGACTGTGTGTGCAGTCCAGTATCCCCTTACATTTATATCGGATGATTCTGCATTTTTCTATATATGTGCAATACCAATGTTAAGTACTAAGTCAGGGTGCTCTGCGTGTAGCGAGCCAAAAAGTAGGAATATATGTTGAGGTGAATTTTAAACTGCTCTTAGATGTAAATGAGAGGGCATATATGTTTGGCTGACTGGCTGTACAAGGTAGGGATGCACCAATTGTGAAATTGTGTGAAATACAGATAATGTTGACAAAGATATGCATCTCTGCCTTGTTGCAGCTCGTTTTATTTTTATTGTCCAAGATGTGAGACGCAGATCGGAACAGCTGCTTACCGTCTGACCATTGCTAATTTGTGCCAGTGTTGGAAAACAGAGGTGATTATTTCTCCAATATCCAAGTTGAAAATAACAAACGCAACCTTTATCCAGCGCAAAATTGATGTGACACAACATATAAACATATATACAAGGTGAATTTTGGCCAATACTGATGTTCGGATGATAAAACAGTGCATCCCTAGTACAAGGTGTACCCTGCCTCTAGCACAATGCTTGCTGGGATATGGTCAAAATGGATGGAACTGATCCTCTGCAGAGATTCAGAAAGAGTAAGATCTCTTTAAATCGAAACAGCAGCTGGACAAAATACAGATACAGTGTTAAAGTACTTATGAAAATCATTCAACAACATGATTGTAATAATAATATAATTAATTAGGAGTAGTATAATTAATTATAGTACTCCTATACTGTATCTCTAATTCTTAAAAAACATACGCACAGAAAGTAAAGCATTTTACATTTTCTGAGAATCAAACTATATTACTACATCGTATTCAATCACACAATGGGAGGTAAAGTGTATCATATGTTCTATATTAAAGTATGTTTACTATTCAGTAGAGATGCCACCTGCACAGCAGTTACATTAACAGATTGTATAGGTGTAAAAGGGAAATTTCCTGTACTAATGTATGCCTAATATAACATACTGTTAGGTTTGAAATTAATGTTGTCACTTTAATCTAAGAACAGACATAAATTAAAAGTAAAAACCTGTTAATTATTGATTTACCACCAGGCTCATTAACCAAACCTGCAACTTTGTTATCTGCAGTAGATACTGGAAGTCTTGTGGTAGATTGTGGTTTCTATTAAGTTAAGAGATAATTGCTGATCGGTCATTAAAAAGGTGCGTTAGTGTATGACAGAGGAAATGAAGACACTGACCTCATTAAAGTGTGCCACCTCCTCACAGTTCTCTGCAACCCGGCTGTAGAAAGACAGACCTGGAAGGAGGAATTTAGAGGTGAAAATCAGATAAACTGTTCAATTATGACATGGCAATTATTGTAATTTCTGGTTGAGTGGGCAGACACACAGCAATTTATATAATTTCTACATGATATCATTTTTACATTAGAGCTTATAAAATACACAAGTGGCTTGTTTTTTGTTGTTGTTGTTGTTGTCGTGATCCCAACCCCTTTTTGTGTCACATTTCACACGTCTATGAGTTGTTAAAGAGACATTCCCCCCGCTAACCACTAAGATTTTTACATTTAAAAACTGTTTGACGGCCAAAGAGGTAAACTTACCCAATATTTCACAAAGTCCTAGACATGAATACAAATTTGTGTAGCAGAACCTTGACCTTTTTCATCTCATAACTTTATATCGTGAAAGCTTTAATATGGCTCAAGGTTGGGAAGTGGAAAGAACTATATTCCTGTATATAAAGTAATTAAATCTAGCTCCACCTCAAGCAGCTACATTAAAATGCTACTGACACATCAGTAATAGCTAACTATAATGCAGTATTTCCCAGACTTAGAGTTGGGACCCAAAATGGGTTTGCAGATCTGCAGAACTGGGGTAAAATGCACAGTAATGCTATGATATGTGAATTAATTTTCCTAATTGAAATAGAAGAAGAAAGAATACTCTTTAGGGAAATAAAGAATGAAATAGCAGGATTTTAATTGCAGGATTATCACTTACAATAAAGTAAATTATCTGAATACTTATTCCGCTACTGTCTGTCAGATTGGATATATGAATGTATCATCACATTTAGATATGCTGATCAACATTAAAATGTTCCCATTACTGTCTAATTTACAAATTTACATGTGTCACATTAAAGAGCACTGAAAAGACAAATTCATGCCTAAGTACCTGAAAAGCACACAAATGAGACAGGTTGTGTGGAGCCACAGGAGACAGAAAAGAAATGCAGACAATTAAATGGCTACTATGACTCACTATGCAACAGAATAAAAACAGAAAAGCAAACAGAGACAGAGAAGACTTCAGCAGAATTGAAATACCATAAAGGAAGTGAGATCAAGGAAAACAAAATGTACATAATTTCCACATGGCATCCTTAAATGATCATGAAAACAATAATCTTTTGGTGCATTGTGTATTCATTCACTGTGCAGTGACCTGACTCACTCATGCGTGCCACTGCTTGTGTTCACCTGGTTGTTTTGTGATCCTCATGAATGGTGCCGGACTGGTGTGTGCATTCTGCTTTGTTGCGGTAGTTTGCTTTGTGTATCTGAGGCTTTGTGTGGGTGCTGATGTTTGTTTGGGTGCGTGTGGACAGCTGATGTGTACTGACACACATTCATATATATATGTATACACATGTGCACGGACCTAGAAAGTTAATTACAGCCCCTGTCAGTTTGGCTGTAATAATAAGTTTGAATAGAAATAAATAGATCCTGCCTGGCTCTGATATATTATTATCATTATTTGTGTTGAAAGTTTCTTTTTGCACATTCACAGAGCAAATAACCTCTTGGATTTAGAAAAAGAAAAAGACACACAAACATGCAAAAGGAAAAGTGAAAATATATTGTGCTTTACACAACCTGATTGGTATAATTTCACAGAGAAAATTAGCCCATTGTGACTCTAGTTCATGATCTCTTTCACAAGTGTTCTCATCTCTCTTTCCCATCACTCCCCACTCTCTACAGCCACATCCTTTGAAATCATTTTTAGAAAATAAACACCACTTAAATGTCAGAGGGAGAGATACAATATTCCTCCTACATTATTCAAAACAGCGACGATGAACACACTGTCACACCAGTCTTTTCATCTAACTGAGACGTGGGTTTAGAAAAGTAGATCATGTGAAACTTATGTAAGGTGCTCCACACAAAACTAAAACAACATTCTGCTAATCAGGTTGCCTTGTGGCCTCGGGTGAAAACAGTGAGAAATAAAGCGATTAAGAGCAGAGAGAGGAGCGGCATTGAAAGAATCGACCTGTGGCGGAGAAAAGAAAAGGAATAAAGAGCTTGGTTTCAAGCAGACGGACTGAGATAAAAAAAGAGGTGAAAGGATGGAGAACACTAGGAAAGATTCATGCTAACACAGATGAAGTGGTGGGCAGATGTGGTTTTTAAGCTTTTTGTCAGTTGTACCTGTACCTAAAATGAAGAAAAGAACATAAAATTGAGTGTAGAATAGGAAAGTGGAAATCATTTTGTGCATCTTTCTTAATGTTCTGTGTGTAATCAGTCTCCCTGTATGCCCTTGAGAATCTCATCTTTGTTCATCCATACTGTGATTTAATTTAGGCTTATTTCCTGACCAATTTACGAGCCAAACAAGAGATGGTGTACATCCTAAATAGGTACCACAATTGACACTAAACACAAAGAAAATATCTGCTCTACGTAAAGTAGATTGCACAAAGCTCAGTTTCAGTCAAGAGAATATTAAAGATTTAGAATTCAAACAAACTGTCCAAGCAGCAGCGACGATGTCAAGGGGTTTGATAAGTGTTAGATGACAGAGAGAAGAAGAGAGTTAGGTTAAAAGAGGCAAGCCTTAGTGGAATATCTTAAAAGCAGAAATCATGTTTAAATTTCTAATTTAATTCCACAGTGTGCGTGTGATCCTGCAGGCTACTGTGCCGAGGCCCAACAAAAGCTGGAGTGCCGTTTTTGATAAAGCTATAGACCAAAGATAAGTCTACGGTCTATTCATCAAAGACTTGTCACAAAATCAATTAAGTTCTGATGCCTCGCCTTTGAAGAAGACTTTATTCATTGTCCATGGTACCAGATAATAATGACTCGTTATATACCACATTAGGTTTCTTTTCCCGTCAGACATAACGTGTGTAGTCTGACATGCATGCATAACACCTTCCCACAAGTCTCTCTAGGGCTCATATATGGTTTGATGTGCTCAGAGGGGGGCTGGGGTTTCCTGGCAGACCATTTCCTATCCAGACAGGAAGTTGTTTGAGCTGAAAGCACTCAGGAAGCCCCACTGACAGTCTGCCGGATAAATATGACTCAAAAACCCAGGGCATTTAAAGAGACTTGGGACGCATGATTGACGCATGTACTGTGAGTAGAAGTTTAAGTGGGTGGAAAAACACATTCTTATGTCTTCTGTAAATGGCTGATTTTGGATGAAACTCAGGGAAGGATAAAGAAGAAAGAGAGAGATGGAGTGAGAGGAAAGGGATAAACTGTTTATTTTCAGGATGTGAAGAGGGTAATAAAGTTTCACATTTAAAATAATTTCACCATCTGTAGGCAAATTAACTGCTGATGAAGACATCAGCTTCCATTAACCCCTTTAACTGGAAAATGATATATTTTTCTAGTATTCGTAAAATACGGAGCACTTACAACTGAAGACAGTATTGTTTTAAATGAAATTAATCATATGGTGGGCGCTGTGGTGATTCAGTGTACAATGAGTTTGATCCCAGCTCATATCTGTTGTTGCACGGCTCTCTCTCGCCCACCTTTCCTGCAATTCTCTGCTCTTAGTTATCTAATGACCCATACATATCCAAATGTATAACACACCTTTTACAGGTGACCTCTCAGATGAAGAGATTTCTTTTTTTACTTTTAATTCAACATCATGACTTCTAACACAGGGTTACGCTTTACAATCTCTTGCTAAATAAAGAAAATCTCCCAGAAGTATCATAGATATCTTAGTCAGGCTAATATGAAATATAGAGCCATATTTTAAAAACATATAATTTGGTCAAATAAAGAACAACGCCTTAAGATAAAAATAAAACAAACCAACTGAATGATTTTAAGGAAGAATATTTATAAAGCCCCATAAGAACTTGTGGCAAAGCTGACGAGGGGGACATAAACCTCAGAATACAGGATGTAAATGTGGGTGTATGATACACCTAAATTACATCTTTGAGACAATGCTTTTATATATGAATCTTGTCTATATGTCACATGTCAGATTAAACAGTTTCATGTAAATTTTAAGCGGCTAAAACCAATATTTCTTCTATAATAATCACGTGAAATAAATATGATGAGTTGTTGGGTTGCCTGTAGTGAGAGAGAATCATTATCCCTCAGCTTTACAGGGCTTTTAAAGCGAGTGTCAGCTCATTGTAAAACAACTTTACAGCTTTGATCTACTGCTCTCATAGCACCGTTTTATGCTTCAATTAGCATAACTAGTTCGATTCCTTACTATCCCAGAAGGCCGTTGTCGTAAAGGTGTTTCCACAGTCCTAAAGACTCTTCTAAACATCTGGATGAAATAATTATTGCGTCTGCACTAATTTGTTTTAACCCCAAGTCGCAAATTTGTTTCACAATCAAAACAAAGATGGAGGCTCGTCGGCTAACTGGTTAAAATCATTTTTTCATCCAGTTGGTAAAAAGAGTCTTAGAATATTCTGAAAATGCCATCTGTTGCTTCTGCCTCCTCCAGACATCGCCAGTTAATTTACTTTTCGATGGTTTGCTACCTGTGCGAGCCTAAGCCGATAAGTGTTTGCTACTAAAAATAATAACGTTAGCTTCATGAAAGGCACAGACAGCGGCTAGCTCAGCACCAACGACAAAGTTAGCAACCAGCAAGCTCACTGGAAAACACAGCACTTAGCAAATTAGTCCCTCCTTAGGAGCTGGTGGAGACCAAAACAGAGCTAAAAGCCAGTGATGTGACTTACATTCACTGTCCAGACTGGAAACAAAACAATTAATATTATCGAAATCGCAATATGTATGCAATGTGCAAATCGCAGAAGCTGCAGTTTTTTGCTAAAGGCAAAATGTGTGACTTAACAGCATTATAATGAAGTACTGTAGTGCTGCAGAGGTCCCCTAGCCTAAATATCTTGTTCTTCAGGTGTAAGAAAACATGTTTGTTTGGTACAGAGCCTTAAAAAATTTCACATGATCAGGATTTTAATAGTGTTTTCAGTAAAAATTAAATTTATGACGCAAAAATTATCATTCCCACACTAATTGTAAATCTATCGCACTACTCCAAATTAAAGATATTCAGTGCTGTGTTCCCAACTTGTTTCCACCACCCTAAGAGGCCAAAATCATCACTTACAGCATATTCTCTGACCAGATTAGGATTTTCAGCCACTGCTGCAACAATTTTATCTTACTTTATATCGAGAGCTGGTGCCAAACAACGTTGCCACCTAAGTATATATCGGCCACAGATTGTGTTAGCTGTGATTTCAGTGTACAGAAGTCTCTGACCCATCAGATTCTGTGGCACTACAGGACGAAAAAGACCAAAGTACTAACATAGAATATATTACCTTTGCTCTATAAGGTTTGTACTATCAAAGCAATTTGTGATTCTTTCTCTAACTTTCTGAATATATAGGGTGTCACAGGTTTTTTTATCAGCATTTTCTAATTAGAAAAAAGTACAAACCTTAACGATGATAATAAAGCTGAAATTCCTATTCAGGTCAGAATCTGATGCAACACAGAATGTGGTGTAGGACCAGTTTAACTTGGCAGGTATGTATCTAATGGGTATTTACACACCTTTTATGATGTGTTGAAAACCTTTTTTGCATGCGCCATTAGTCTGCAACTGGAAAGAAGATTGAATATGTGCTTCTGCTTTTTTTTCATTTCATATCATATACAGAATCTGACATAAGAGAAAACCAGTGAAAGTCCCTTGTGTCTTAAACTGGGTAGGTTTCAAAACTGCACTGACTAAATCAGATATTGTAGGGCAGAAATTGGGGTAAAAAACAGCACACATACACACACACACACACACACACACACACACACACACACACACACACGCACACACACGCACACACAAACACACACCCTTCAGAACAGAACTGCAGCTACTGTGCTGACAGTTGAACCATGGGGAGGAAGGGTAGAAGATCTCATCGTTGACATGGATGACACAGTTCATGTAATATCGAGCCCCTTGTGAATTCACTGCGGTGCAGGGCACACCACTGAAGCCCATCCTCTCTCCAGTGTGCACACAGTCACAGAACAATGCAGAGAGAAAGAATGGGTGGTGGTCTTGCAACATCCTACACGATCCTGATGCTGACAGCAGGAATCAGTCTGGGACTAAACACCTGTCATCTGTCAGAGAGTGGACTGATCGCTGTCCAAGGTGCTGAAACACACACTCCTCTCTCTCTTCCTCTGTCTCTCTCTTTCCCTCTCTCTCTCACACACACACACACACACATTCACACACAGAAAGAAACCTACGATGCCGATGAATGAATCCACTGAACTCCCTCCAAATGTCCCTCCAATGAACAGCAGGAGAGACAGACCAGGTCATGTGTTAGGACAATGGCCCTGTAAGAGCAATTAAATGCCAGAAAACTAGAGGGTTGGCAATTACCCCAAAGGTACAATAAACCCCCACCTTTAACACCATCTTCAGTAATCAATGCTCTCAGCTCAGTCATTTGTAACCTACTGGCATCTCGCTCCTTTATTGCTCTAGGAGTAAAATTACCAGTGGACACATTCAGTAAAAACAGTGATGAGAAATCACTGTAATGTCACTATATGTTCCCAGAGCTGTACAAAGAGTGACACCTTGCTCTTTCTTTATGTGGCAATATTTAATAGTTCTAATTCTAATAAATCCTAAGAGAAGTCCATGTCCTGACAGCAGCAAAAGACTGGATATAATAGCTGTGATATAACATCATGAATTTTCATTAGCAGGAATATAAGCACCCTATTTCTAATACAGTTTGCCTGTGTAGTACTTTAAAAGGCGTGAGACAACATATATATTATAGTTAACATGAATATTAAGGAGTATATGAAATGGTTAAATGCAAAATGATTGCGGTTGGATTTTCGTGTATAATTCTATTAAATCGTATACTGACTGTGTTTAAGGTTTCTATTTCTGTCTTAATTTGAAGGATATTCGTCAGATTTCCTTCCTTGGATAAAAAGGCGCAGTGAAACATCAGAGCGCAGCGCGTCTCAGGTGACCACTGATCCAGGAGGGGGATTCCCCAACTTTTTACGCAGCCAGGACCGCTGATTACCTCCCATCGTGTCGTCTAACATAAATCAAACCAGGGCACACTACGCAGGGTGATTCGGTTTCAACACATACAGGCTATAACACAGAAACGCTGCAGTTAAAGACGTCCTACCTCTGAATGTAACTTTGGCGATCCTGTCACCTTTTCCCCGAAGGTGAGCGACCGTCTTCAGGTGAACCATTAAAGCCATCATTAGTCCACACTCGTCAGGGGAGTAATTTTACTCCACACAGATAAAAACCTGAACTGATTTGGTGCAATCTGTGTTTTAATGATCTTTAGGCGAGCCTCTCCTTGCGTCCGGATACAAAAACGTTTTCCATACGGGCAGCATGTAGAATAGTTTTTTTTTTTTTGGTTTTTTTCTCGAACAGAAACAAAAGAAAATTAATTATAGGCTCCTGTTAACATTTTCTCTTGCTCCGTGCTCCGTGGCTGCTGGGTCTGTCGCGCATCTCCGGGCTGGCACTTGGTTTTACTCTGCCCGTCGTGCAGGAAGGGCGGGGGGTGGGCTTCAGCTTCAGCTTCAGCCTGGGGATGGTGGATGCTCTAGTTGTAGATCAGATCAATTCAGTCCTGGGATTTGCTCCACCCTTTCTTCAGTGAGTAAAAATCTTGGTCATGAGCCTATGCTGTTTTAACAGATCTTCACTGCAGACTTAAACGAGAATCTAGAGAGAATATTCAGCTATTAGCTATCAGTTGTTTCATAAAGAACCGTTTCAAAAAGTCAGTGTGTAATCTTCATCTTCCTTTAGAATATGGATTTCAATTGCATGGTAAAATGTATGTAATAGGTTACTAAATACAAAGTTTAAATATAATGTCCTTTTAGTGTTGATGTGTCTCTTTGCTATAAATACTTCTCTTCGTCTACCTTCTCAAACTTACTGTATTGTAGGATTAAATCTTATTCTTTAGGACAGATGCTGAGCAATATACAGTTTCCAGGCATCTAATTTTCCCCTTTATTATTAGTGAAGGATGACTAAGGTCAGGGGTCAAATGAGCTTTGTTTCTCCCTGTCTGGTCCTGGGCTGTGGTCCGCCTTTCTGCTCCGGTAACAAACAACAGAAACCACATTTTACCTGCAGGCTGGGACGCTGTAATCCATATATCTGTTACAAGAAAAGACCAGCAGGTAGGCAGCTGTGCCAAGAGTTTTCAGAACAGAGTCCAGGTACCTGTCGGGGTCCTGAGAGGGTTTTCAGGGGGAGGAGAATCAGGGATAATTCACTGGTTCACCAGATGTTGCTACAAGGTCAAAAAGGTAAGATACCAAACTCATGCAACATTTTTTGAGGAGTTGTAGCTAAAGAAAAAATCTGCAAATCTGCACATGATACTGAACACTAAAAAACTAAACTGTACTTGGCATTTCGTCAGCAATGCCACTATCTCCAGGAGTTACACTGACGGCAGCACAGATCCCTCTGACAGCACTGTGATTTCTGGGCCTCAACATCCCAGCAGGCACAGGGACACCCTCAGGCTATTGGCACAGCTTATTGGTCCTGCCAAGACATGGAACAGATAGGACAGAAAATGGCCTCAAACAAAAATACATATACTGTGTGACAATGTGGTTTAGTCTGACACTTTGACATGTACATTCAGCAGCTGTGTCACCGTAGTTTAGCCCAGAAGTTCACAAACTTTTTCATGTCAATTTATTTAATTTAATTTATTTATTTTCAAGATTATAAAGTCTTCATAGTCAATCAATGATCAAACTGGAATCATTATAAATTACAGTTGATGAAAACCACCAACACTATTTCTTTCCTTGTTGTCCCAACTTAAAAAAAATCCTCCTTTTCCTTGGGACCTTACAACCCACTCAAGGACCCCTGTTGGTCCCTGGACCCCAGTTTGAAAACCACTGGTTTAACCTAAATGGGTTCAAATGTAACAGTATAACCTTTGTGGGTGGTTTATTGCACGATGTTGTCTTAGATCACCTAGTTTTAGCTATAAACTGGCAACAGAGTGTGTATTGACAGGTTTTTCCTCAATGCTTGGTGTTTCTGTTTACTGAACCACCCCAGACCGTTAATTTAATGTTTTTTCTTTCCCTCAACTCTCCCAGAAAATTAGAGAAAGATTAAAGACAATGGTCGAATGAAAGAGCTGGTTTTAGTAATTCATCATCTCTGTATGAAATACCCTAAAGGAGTTGCACCAACAGACTTAAAAGGCCGGATTTATATTTCAGAAAAAAATATAAATTGTGTCTTTAAACATGGTTAGATGTTGACCACTCCTCTGCCTAACAGGCGAATGTAACCCAAATAAAATAATCCACAAACGACAAAACAGATAAAGTAAAACGGCTGATAAAACTGGAACACAACACACATTCACATAAACTCAGTCGGACAGTCAGTCTAACTTGATACAGTATATTAGCAGAGAAGGCCTAGTTCAACACAGGCATCTTGTCATCTCTCTGCAGGGGAATTATAGCAGGACCTGACATAAATAACCTCAGGCATTTGTATAACAAGACAGGACACCTTGTACTCACTATACTGAGCTGGCTGAGGCGTCACCGGAGGAGCAATCCAACCATATCTCACCCTCTCTATCTGTGTGTGTGTGTGTGTGTGTGTGTGTGTGTGTGTGTGTGTGTGTGTGAATGAGTGACAGTGTCTGTGCACATTCTGCAGATTTGCAGAGAGCGAGTGAAAGCGACAACTATCTGCTTCGATAAGATTTTTTTTGGTTATAAAAAATGTATTGTGTTTTGTGCTGACTCATGCACTATTTCAAGCTGCTGCAGTAGTGTTTGTGTGTTGTAGAGAGAGAGAGAGAGAGAGAGAGAGAGAGAGAGAGAGAGAGAGAGAGAGAGGAGCTACTAGAGACTCGTGAGCACAAGAAATGAGTTTATGAAGTTCAGGTTTTAAGGGCAGAGGCTATTAAAAAGACAAACTGCAGTTACTTTATTGGCCCTTGGGGACCATGAAGATGGCCACTGACACATGTATTGATTTTGCAGCAACCACCCCCCCGTCTTTTCAGTAATAAATATCAAATTGCTTTTTTACAGAGCAGTTACCGTGTGGTGAAATCCTAGTTACTATATTTAACCCAGAATTTCCCATATGCTCCTCCTCGGACTCCGACACATTGCAGTCATTCATGAATTCATTCATGAAGAAGTGATGATTGAACTCTTTTTTCCAGTGCAGATAATGGCCCAGGCCAACAGAGGGAGATGTTGGTCTGGAGTAAAAACCACCTACACACAAGTGAATAAAGCTGTCTTTTGTCACTTGATGTTGCTTGATGAGCTATACAGATAAACGGATAATTAATTATGAAAAGCCAATTGCATAGCATTTTTATCTCATTCAGATCTGGGGCAAAGTTCAATAATTTCCGAATGAATGAGAATATTAGTGATAAATTAACCTCTGAGCTATGGAGACAATAAATGTATTCAGTAATTGTCCATCTGTAATTGCTGCTGGTCTTGTGGGACGTTTGCTCTCTCATGTGTAAAAAGTGCTGCAAAGGTACACAGTGAGGCAGAAAATCTTCTGGCTCTAGTTCAATTGTTACCACTGGAAACGTAACTATAATAAGGAGGAAATAACAATGTTTCTAACTTTGAAATTTTACAGTATTATAATAGATATCCCGTCACAAATGTTTATCATTAGCAGGAGCTCATATTCATTATCTGCACAATGTGTGCACTCTGCAATTGTTCTGAGCCTCAATGGAGCACTAACAAACAAATAATAGACAAATTGACTATATAAGGCATATATTAGTCATCTAAACTAAAACATTTAACTACACACTGAGAGAACGTTAGGTTGAACTATTGCAGTTACCTTTGTTGCACACAGGTATACGACACTATATATAAAAACGTGGCTTGTTACTCCATCTAGTGGTTAAAACATTTCTTTGGAAAATTGTTGCAATCGTGCACCCTGCCTCCAGAAAATAGATCATTTGTTAGAGCCTTGGCCCAAAGCCCTGTTCTCTCACCTGGTGAAGTGATGGTGTCATGGAAATGTTTAATCAACCTAAAGTGGATCTGCAAGAAGAAGAAGTGGAACACGGCAGAACAGGTAGAACTGAACTGTTTACATAAAGGTTTTCAGAAAAGCAGCTATACCCACAAAAAATAACATTCTTGTGGTTTTCAAAAGAAAAAAAAGGAAAAAGTGAATTATAAGAATTGTCTCTGAAACAGTCAATAAAAACAGGAGGACTATGTGTCCATGTTTAAAACCTCAGGTTCTCCCACTAATCAGTCTCCCTCCACCTGCTACTAGACCTTCAGCTTTGGATGAAATCAATGCCGTTACCTGAAGAGGGAGACATTTTGTCAATTTTATTTTATTATTCTAAAATCAAAGACACCCTGCAGCACAATGTAGACACGTTTAAATAGCTGAGGAGCTCACAGTATGATAGTGTAAGGGATGCTATATGACATTTTAATAAATTCAAATGATGAGAACATTTTATCAAGTTTTATATAGTTACATACCTACAAACTGTACTCTGCTTCAGTTTTTGTTTTTCAAATTATTCTGCTTTTTAAAAAAAAGACCATTTCACTGTTTGTAACCAATTCTTTCTGATCGAGAAATCGACTGAAGATGTTTATGGATCTGATGTATTGGGCTTTTGGTTTTTGAAAGTTTTTTGCCGACATAAAGAAGCTGTAAGTTCAGGGTGAAAAGCAGCATTCCCATCGAAAGAGGGGAGGGGAGGGCTGGTGTGTCCCAACCCTCTGAATCCATCCAGCTGGTGCGACGCTCCGCAGCAGTAGCGCGCCACACTCACTATGGCTTTAGCCGCAAGCAGGACCCTCTTGGCGCTATTCGTTACGTTTTGCGCACCAGGATGCGGATGGACAGGTAAAAAAAGATTTGTTTACTTTCTCCTGAGCAGGTGCACGGTTTGCACTCATATGTTACTCAGTTTGATCATTGCTGGGGCAAAGTTGCTTTACACTCTTGTACTTTAATGGATAAAGTTTGATTGATGAGAGAGTTGTTGCAGCAGTATATTGCATTTTTACTGCAAACGCAGTATTTTTTTAATGAGACCCTTGATACTTAGGAAAGAAAACACTGGAAAAATAAAACTGTGCGCGTGCATGTCTATGCCTGTGCACGCGAGCCTTTAACACTTCCAAATTCTCAGTTGCTGTAGATGTCATTTCTCATGAAAACAAAAATAGATTAATTGTAGCCATTCAGAATGCATTAGAATATTTAATTTGGAGGGTGTTGTTGGATATATCATTTACAGTTGTGAAATAATTAGTTTAAGTGAGCAATTACAGCAAATGCAGACTTACAGTGAAAATACTGTCGTTGTTGCTTTATGGGGGGAAAATGTGATGCTGGCCTCTCAGCAGCAGTCATGGAACAAGTCCTTACCTCATATAGTAGGCACATCAGGAACTGTGATCAACAATTAGAAGATGATGACAAATATCAGGCGATCATGAGACAAAAAGAAAAAAAAAACATGTATGTTTGATGGTGGCTTTGCTGTATGCGTTGAATGTCACATCAATCAGTGGGTGAAATTATTAAAAGTGAATGAAAAAGATTTTTTAAGGTTTAAATGTGTTTGATAAATTGATATCAAATGGAAGTAGCATTTGTGACAGCCACAGAGACCACAGCACACATGGTTTTAAAGTTTCTTAAGTACCATTTGTAAAATCAATTTTCAGGGAAAGAATCCCACATTCTGCAGACAGCGAAAATATCCAAAATACCGAAAGTGCCATAAAGCCTGAGGATCTTTGGAGGGCAGTAAGCTAACTTTTTTGGCTGAGTTTAGGAGCTACATCACAGCCAGCCAGCCTTTCTTTTTTCTACCCTTTTCTCCAATGTACTCAGTCCACTTATATTGTCAGTTGATCTGTAAGTCTCTATAAGCCTCCTTCTCAACTGTAAGCACTTAGTGCATGAGGTCATAACTTTCTCTGAATATAGGCAGCTGCTATTTGTTGTGGTCTTTTCCTCTGAGTCGTTTTTCTTTTCCACCTTTTAGGAAGTATTTCAGAGCAGCCGTGGACTTTTTCTGCAACACCCTGCTTCACATTCATTCACTTATACACATTCACACCTGGGAGCTACTTAATACACCCACAGTTCACTGCTGTGGGCCTCTGAGCAGTGGAGCAGTCTGGAGTTGAATGCCTTCCTCTTGGGCATTTTGACAGTAGTTGTTAAGGGAGAGGAGAGTGTTACTCATTAACGTTCTCCACATCTCATCAGCTTGTCAGTCGAAAAATTCTGCACAACAGAGGATGAAATTGGGCCAGTGGGAATATCTAGACACCTAGGCGGGAGCAGTGCAAATACAGAGAACAGAAACATTGTGTATTTGGATAATAAATAATGTCAACTTCTTCCATGCAGCCACAGTCCATCAACTCCTGGAAAGTGTAGAGTGTAGAGAATAATTGGGACAGAGGGTGAGGGGAAAGAAGGAATCATGTCCTTGCAGGCCAGTGGAATTTAATTTCTCTGCTCCACTTAACATGCTGGAATTCTGCAGGAGCACCGCATGACATATATCACAGAAAACCTTCAGAATCAGGAAATTTTTTTGTATTGGGAAAATATGACCGTCACAGGGAGGTAGAGGCAGAGATATTTATAATATTTTCCACAATACAAGGTATCTTTGCTCACCTATAGCTTGACCTAGAACCCTCACCCACCTGCAGCTTGTTTGCCTGTCAAACCTGCCAGCGATGGTATGTCTCATGTCATGATGTCATCTCAAGGCGCCATTCCAGTTGTTTAAACAAGTACCACCTGGGCCATGAACACACCTGTCACAGCACAGTAGATGTCAGCATACTAAGTGTGTTGCAGGAAGATAAACAGTGTAAGATGGCCATTTTCATCTCCATGAGGGGATATTTGAATCATTTGGGAAGTCTGTTGGTTGGAGAAGTGAGCGTCTGACCACCAACATTGAAATGCAAAATATGTTTTTAGACTGTAATTGTATTGGCCAGCTCTTGTTTGTAGATGTCATAAATGTCATGTATGTATGCATGTAACGCTCCCAAGCTAAACAATACACACCCCTGGTTGTCGCTTTAAATAAAAACTCATTCTTAGTCACTTAACTTGGTTAAATGAGGCTTAACCCCCATTAATAAAATGACTGCATCTAGTCTGACAGTCTGGTGATTGATGTGCTGGTGTGACTAAGTGAAGTCAGAGAGCAACAACCATCTATGGTCATGGTCTCAGTCTGGTGTGTCGGCTTTATGACAACGTTGATTACTGGAGAGAGTTTACTGAAGGTCAAAGGTGAGAGGAGTTAAAGAGTGACAGAGGTGCTACCAAGAATTTTATAGCCCCGGGAAAGATCTGACACCAACCCCCCACCTAGAAGAAACTATGTTTATAGACTCAGTTCAAACCTGTTTTTAAATGTATTCAAGTCCCGTATGTCTGATCTATTAAATAGTTTTTAGGAAACATGATTATTTACTTTTTGCCGTTACCTCATGTCTGTACCACATGTAGCAGCCAGGAGATGATTAGCTTAGCTTAGCATAAAAAAATACAGCCAGGCTGTTTCGCCTTCTTCCATTCTTTATGCTAAGCTAAGCTAACCAACCGACTAACTATGACTATAGCTCCATGCAACATACTGTATAGACACAAAAGTGCTAATGATCATCTAACTCTTAGCAAGAAAGCGAATTGGCATTTTAAAATGTCAAGCTACCCCTTTAAAGGGTAAATGATAGAGTCATGCCAGATAGTTTTGGTTTTATTTGCTCAGGTTTTCACATACCGTCCTAATGATGGTGAAAGGAATTTTGTTTGTGGGAATTAACATAAAAACAACATCTCTTTCCTCAGTCAGCGTTCTGTTTGCGCATGATAATCCACAGAACATGCTGTCAACAGTTTTCATGGGACTGTTTCTGAATGTATTTTCAGTGCAAAATGCTGACAGTGAGGTCTGTGAATTGTCCAGATTAACATTGTTTTTGGAAAAAGATACTTTGCTGTTGAATGTTTTCAGCGCTTTGGGCACCACAAAATATATTTTATTCAATGTTATTGTAAATTGGGTGGCATCTAAAATCTCAAGAGACAAATATTTGGGCAAGTAGAATCAAAACTATCTGCATGACTTACCAGTGGTAAGTGATAATTCTTTATTTCTTCATAATACATAATACTTTTTGGATCCCTGGGGGAAAATGCATTATCCCAGTATATCCCCACTAACAACAAACATCAAGAAGGCCCAGCAAAGAAACACTGCACAGACATATTTCAGGTTTCATTCATGTCTGTCGATGGCCTGTTGTGTTGCCTGTTGTTGTTGATTAAAAAAAACGAAAATCCTAAAAAACAGGAAAGTGGAAACTTCTACATCACTTGCCTCCAGAGCCAGCAGTTATTGGAGAGAAAATTCACCTCAGTCAGTCCATGCCTTTAACGTTGCCATGACAGCAAATTATTTTATTATCTAAACACCTACGGATGGACTAAATCTTACAGAATGGACATCTGATGAGCCTCCTCTACCACACATACCGTTATTATGGGTGAGTGGGGGGTCAGCGTCTGTGATTTTGTGGCCAGGTGAGAAGGTGCTTTTGTAAAAGTGGAGCACATTGCAGGTGCATGAGTGCAAGTATTTTCTAGAACAGTTTTACAGGAATCCTTTGACCTCAAGGTTTACCTGCATGTGCTTCTTGTACCAAAACTACACATGCACATACACGTGTGTCTGTCTGTCTGTCTGTCGGTATCCATCTCACACACACTCTCACTCATACACACAAACTTTTCTTCTTTTATCAACAAAATACACTGACATAATGAGCCTTAAGCCCTACCTTCATTCTTTACATACTTAATACTTTCCACTGTCCGCCTCAATCACACTCTAATTGTCTGCCTTGTCTTTCCATTTCACATTCACGAACACAGCATAGAAAATGTTATATTATTCCTCCGGTCTCCCATGGCAACGCCATGAAACCAAGCCTCCCTCCGTAAGATTATGATGTTACAACCACTTAGTTGCTTCCCAAACTGTTTATTCTTGGACTGCAATCATGCATCTGTTGCACTCGAAGGAGTCTTGTTTTAATCAAAAATATCTGGTTTGCCCTTGGATCATAAATTTCCAAAGAGGCCAAATCACAGGATGATGTCTGGACAGAGGAGCAGATCACTTCCTACGTAATACATGGCCTCATTGGAAACAGAGTGAAAGTGATTGAAGTGTGTCCAAACTTGTATCAGTGGAGTCTCCCTTGAACAGCTGATAAAACTGACTCCACTGTAAGCATGCACTAATGAGAAAATAATGAGAAGAGATTGTGTTTTTTTTGTTTTGGGAAAACACTTCTCTGTGCACCCAGGCACAATATGATGTGTCTGACATCTTGCCACCAGCATGGTGCTATATAGAGTCAGCAGAAACAGCATTGAGATGATCCTTCAGAACATATTAATACTAGAAGTTAAGCAGAGACAACATTGTAGGCCTCAGAAGAGTTTCACAGTCTGTAAACTGTGGCACAAGAGGCACGAGTGGCAATTATTCCTAAATGCCAAAAGTGAGAACGAGAGAGAGTGAGAGATCCAGCTGGGCGCACACCTGCAGACATCAAGAATTCAAAGTGATGAAGTGATTTTGTAACGATGCTAAACTGAAACTGCTGCTGTTAACCTTTAGTGAGCACAGACAGTCATAAGAACCAGCTGTTTATTAGATGGACAGACATTACTGACAATAATATGTGACAGCGATGAATGGCCAGCATGCTAATAAACTTTGCACAACTTTTGTTCAAGTACTGTGAATCCTCTCCATTTAGCCAATGCTTGAATACTTACTATTTGGATTGAGATTTAAACCTGCTATAATCAATACTTCAATTGGATGACAATCGAGTTAAACTGAATTAAATGACATACAGGATTATCACCAGATGTAGCTTAACATTTCACCGCTAAAGAGCAAAATATCTACCTCAGGAGTTGGTGGAGACCAAAAACGGAGCTAAAATGAGAGTGAATATATTTACATTCATAGATAGACACACATTACTCCTAATGAATGGTAATGTTACTAACATGTTTACCATTAGTTTAAGCAGAACCATAAAAATGGGCTTGTTGTTTCAGATATGCTTCAGTGGCATTGGCTCAGTCACAGCTGTGTGGGTACTAGTTTAGAACTGTTGAAGGAATCTGATGGTCTTGATTTAAAAAGCCTTTAATATTTATTATATTTATATGAATTAGTTCTCAAGGCAGAAACCTGCTGAGGGAGCTCCCTCATATAGCCGATTCTCTAACTGTATAATCATTTAATCATTAGCTATAAATGGTCATTGTTTGTCTTAGAAGAGAGCAAAATAACTAAATGCACAGACATTGATCATGTATAAGATATGTATTTACAGGGTTGTAAACAACTCTTATGCACCTTTCTTCACATGCTTCCGGCTTTTTACAGATGTCGCATTACTTATGTTGAGTCAGCTGAGGTTTTAGCATCTATTCAAGCACTCAGGCTCTCAAGTCAGCTATTTTGAATATCTCAAGTGGTTGTTTATTATTTCTTATTCATGCAGTCTTCTCTGGGGCCTTTTAGTAGATTTCTTTCTTTCATATGAGCTGGATTCCCAATTTCATACTGTGTTAAAGGCACACTTTACTTTATTAGCTGGGTGTAATGTTGGCCTGTTGGATAATTGTGGTGTCACCACTACACTGCATTAATCTAGCATGCAAACCAAAAGAAGAGCAAATAGGCAGTTGCTATCTTAACAAAGTGGTGGTTACTATCTTCTTTGTTTAGTCTGGAGTAAATCTAGCCAAGAGGGATACTCAAGATTGCTTATTGCCCTGAGCCTTTAGCATCCAAGCAAATCCTCATTTATTTATTTAACCATCAAACTAGTTTGCATTTTTCAGAGCTGCCTTACACATAAGTTTATGCTTCTTCAGAATCTGAGTTGCTTTAAATGCCAAGTATAATAAATACCGAGGAAATTGTGCTAGTGGCACTGAAGAAGAGGTGTATTAACAGCATGAATGGTAGGCCTACATACGTGTGGGGGCAACAGGTCATCACAATAAGAGAGACAGAAGAATGTTAAAATAAACTTTATACAGACACAATTTATCTTGACGTCATTTGTTTTGCAGCAGAGAAGCCCCTGCGGCCACACAATGGGAAACAGACATCTGTGGACAAGGGCCTGAGGGAGAGCTGGGAGCCTTCTATCCATCTGGATGGAAGACCTGTGGACCGCTTTGTCATCAGCTCCAGCAAACCCACGAGGTCTCACCGCTTCACTAAAGTGGGAAAGGACAGTCGCTCTCATCTACTGGAGGATGTAGGTAAGGCAGAAGTAAAGAGAAAGTTAAAAGGAGAGGGTGAGAGCGACACAAGGATACAAGATGTTAAGATCAGGTGGTTGGGAGTCTCCGATGATGTTGAGATTGAGGGATGTGAAGGAATCAAGCCAGATTCTAATGAGTGTTTTTCTGAGGGACCTGGACAAAAAACTAATACAGAGGAAAATAAATGGATGGAGAGCAAGAAAAAGAGGTTTGGCTTAAACTTTGGAGTGAGATTTCAGATCCCGGAGCTCTGCACTTTCTCAAGGAAAGTGCCAAGAATAAGGAGGGGATGAGCAAAGCTGTGTACAAAGTAGAGAAGCCAGGAGGTGAGGTGTACACACGTGTGATTGCGTGTATGATTGATTTTTGTCAGTGGATTAGTTCATCATTGGATATGCTGTCACCCAGGTTTGCCAGAAAGAAAGACAGAGCAGTGGGGGTGGTGGGGTGCATGACCAGCAATCACCATTCCAGCTCGACAGACAGTGGTTATTTTGGGCTTTAGATTATTTTTAGATTTTAACAGTTTCTCTGGTAATTCCTAATCCAGCCTTGTAAAACATAAGACAGGTCTTTATGTTTCTATACACATACAGTTTTTGCAGTGTTGACACAGTCTAGCCTGCTTTTGTCATTATTCCATTTTCCTCTGTCCTTGGCTTTGCAGAACCATACTTCATCAGCGGCTCAAAGTCTGCAGCCAACCCTTCTTTTCCACATCCAAACCCAGCCCAACTCCTATAACCCAATCCCCTGTGTTGTGGTCACCTCTTATGTGTGTGTGTGTGTAAGATATGTGTGTTTGGTGGTGATTGTGGTGGAGGATAGGGTGGTGCCAAGTGCTGAAGTCATACGTTGTCTTGTATGGTGTGTCAGAGTCTTCAAACATGAATCTATAGATGATTTTATGTTTGTGTTCATGTGAGTGTGTGTGTGTGTGTGTGTGTGTGTGTGTGTGTGTGTGTGTGTGTGTGTGTGTGTGTGTGTGTGTGTGTGTGTGTCGGACCAGTGTGGCGGCGGCCTTGTGGTCTCTCCAGCTCCGGTGCAGTGTGCCATAAATCTCTGGCAACCAAGCTGCGTCTCAGTGTTGCCTTTCCAGAAATTCCTTGCAGATCATGTGTTGTTCCCTCAGCAGCATGAGAGCAGCATCAGTTGTCATAAATAACACCATGCTGTTTGCCTCCACATCATTAATGTGTCTGGCCAGCCGCTGTTAAAACAACAAAGATGGAGAGAGGACTTATAAAAAGCAACAAGGAGGTAGAAGGAGAGTAAAGGAAAAGGGGAGATTTAGAAAAGATGCCCATTTTTGTCACTTTTACAGGGAAAAACGGAAACCATGCATATTTAAAACTTGACCTGCTTAACAAATAACTCCACTCATCTTAAATTTATTTAATTTGCTGATTATTTATTGGAAACATAATTTAACCAGATGTCCTGTGTTCCTATTACTTTTTTTTTTTTTTTTTTGTAGACCCTGAATGGGTTAACCTGGATGGCTTTGCTGTGTTGGGCGGTGCACCTGTCAGCAACTCATCAGCAGGTAAACCTAATCTCAAGGCATCTTTACTAACAACACATGGAAATGTTGTGTCTCAGTTAAGAGCTGTACATGTAAAACTATCTGGTTGAATCCATTAAAAGTGCTTTCTCTGAAATAATCTGCTGTCATCATGGATATTAAAGGAACCGCCAAATCTAATGTGATGATGATTCACAATGCTATGTCTTGGGGCGACAGTTTCGTTTTCCTTTCCCCTCAGTTGTTCTGTCCCAATGGGATCAGTGGGGAAAAACTAACTTGTCTTTGACTCATACATTCCCATATATTTAGCTAGGTGTATTTTTCTTGCAGGTTTTGCTGCCTTTAATCGTGTGCACCACATTAATTATCACATATTGGCCTGCCAGTGCTTTCAACAGACTGTAAAATTAATGGAAATGTCAGGAAATAAGTGATTAAAGTGTACTCTGTGGATATATTTATGAGTGCACAGTCAATTCATTGATTAGTGAAGCAATATAGAATTAGCTGCCAACAATTTTGATCAATAGATGATTACTAGTTATTAATGAGTATCTGTTTTATATCATTGTTAATGGAATACCTATTGGTTAGACAGCAAGCAAGTTAAAGATTTGCCACTTTGAGCTATATGAACTTGGCATTTTTCATGATTTTGTGAATAACATACAGAAATCATTTATAAATTAATTAAAAGTGAAAAATACTTACATTTCCTGTATATATCAAAACTTATTTTAAGCTCATTATAGGACATTGTTCGTAATTGAAGTCAAGCACCACTAAAGGAAGCTTACCTAAGCTTTAGACTAGACCAGTAAATTACATTTTCATTATGTGTTTATTTCTGTGCCGCGTCATGGGGCATTTGGACATTTAAGCATATGTCATGTAAACACTCACTAGTCTACCACAGGGCTAACAAAAATAGATCCGCATACCCGTGTTCATACTGTGCCATAGGGACAATTTAGTCTCTCCAAACCACTTGACTTGGCATATACTCGTTCCGTGGCAGGGAACATAGAGAAAACCCATTCAAATTTCATACTGAAAGGATCGGGACCAGCAATTGAACCCCGGACCTTCTTGCTGTGAGGCGACAGTGCTAACCACTGCACCACCATGCTGCTATGGAATTTCAGTTGTATTTGTTTGAGGTAGAGCTGCTCTGGAGACACAGCTAATCATATTTGTTGAGTTTAACCTCAGTGAATAAAGCCAAAGAGCTATGTTTCTGGCGAAGAAATGCTAGAGCAAAGCCCTGTAAGCGTTAGCATTACAGTAGATAAAGTTATCTAGGTAGCCACTAGCTAATTTTAATTCTCCCAGGTAACAATCCAAAACATTTTGTAGCTGATAGCCTGGTAAGCTTATTGAATAAAGGGAAAAAAACAAATGAATACATGTAATTCATGTTTTATATCATATATTCATTGAGGCTGAATTTACAAGGTTACAGTTGCGATTGATTATACACTAATGAAAACATACCTATGAATATTACATCAATTTCTGCTAGTAGTTCCTCCTAAATACTACACATTGGAAGAACGGCATTATTACGAAGCAACATATCAAATAAGCTGCCAGCTGGCAAGTGCTATCTAATGTTAGCTTAAGTTATCGTTTAAGTTAACCATAGCTAATTTACCCATTAAATGTAAGTTATTTTACTATACTGAAGCTGAAACCCGATATGCTAATGAATGAATGAAAGCATTGTTATAAGTGGTGTATTTTTGTGTCTTTGCCATTTTTGTTTGTCATTTAACAAACTTTGTCTCTTTTGCCAATTGAGGCTAAATGGATTATTTTTGCCTCCAGGAAACCTCTACCACTGAGAATTGTTTGTATAGATTCAACTGTGGCTAAACTGAGCAATGTTCTCCACAGTGAGACCCAAACTTATCAATTTAGGTCTGCAAAGTTTACACTTGCTTTTGAAGGCGGTGAAACGTCAAAGACGGTGGATAGAAACCTTGCTTTTTTCAGCTACTTTTTGAGGAGGGAGTAAGCACACAACAGTGACATTCTTCAGCATCAGCCTGAACGCACTGAGGTGGGTCTCCGCTGTAGCAGTGGTATGTCTGTCTGTCTGGAGGCCAGGCTCATAGCACCTCGGACCGTCGAGCTTCCAGGAAAAGACAGAAAGGATCTGGCAGTAAGAGCATTGTGGACTCAATGGTTTAGCGGTCCGCGGCATGCTGACCCCAGCCAAACTATGCACTGTGACAGTTTTCCAGAGAGAGAAAAAGAGGAAGAAGAAAATAGGCTAAGGAAAAGGAGAAGTCAGTTGATTAAAACCAAATGTTTTTTTTTTATTTATTTAAGTCAGCTAGCATATGAGGAGACACGATCAAACAGATACAGCGAGTATGAGACAGAGGATTGGGCCACATTAGTGTTATTCTTGAAAGCGTTGCCTCAATAGCTGTAAAAAATGGCTGAAATACACAGAAAGTAGGAATAAAACATAACACACTGTGTCATATTCACTATCAATATATAATTTTTGGGTGGTAAATCAGTACAGACTTTCAAATTAATCTGTTTTCAAACACAATTACCACACAGTGCTAACATACAGTAACCTTGACAGTTAATCAAGTAATCCCAATGTTTGCCAGTGTCAAGTTTCTGGAAATATATTTCCAGGGAATTTTAAAATAAGTGGAAATCAATGATAGTTAGGGAGCTATGTTTCAGAGGCAAATATGCATGTATAACTTTAATTGTAACACAATTCATACAGAAAGCTTGTGTACCACCAAGCAAACAACTACAGCAACTTCCAACAGTAAACATGTGATTTGTAGTAAATGGAACAAAACAAGCATAAACACTGGTATTAAGTTACATTTGGATGTTTTCATTTGTTGTTTTGATAGTAAATTTCCACATCTTCAAACATACAAGCAATTACAGGCGGTTAGCTGTCACATTGGCAGACAGACAGGAGGAACACACAGAACAGCTTAGCCAAGAAACTTGTACAGGTGCAGGAGAATCATGGAGAGAAGCGTTTGAAAACAGGGAAATCTGAGAGGAAAGGCAACATCAGAGAGAGAGTTGCTGCTTTACCAAACAGCCAATTGTCGAGATCCAAAGGGACAAATCCACTCAGCTGCGCTGGCAGGATGGAGGGAAGGATAGAGACAGAGAGACTTAAATAAGCCTCCAGGTCTTGCTAACACAAACTTCCTCTTTCTTCCTGGGAGCTTTTCTGGTGTGCATTTATACTCCTCTTCACATCCCCTTAGCCTCATCTTGTTTTTCACCACACATGAGTGTCTTGGTGGAAGCCCATATGAGCTGAACCTCTCCCCTTTTAAAGCGTAGCTAAAGAAAACTTTTTGGGTGTGGTGGCCTTTCTTGCAAGACTATTTTCAGTTGGCCTACTCTACCTGTTCTTTGGACGGGGAAATCCTACATTTCAGGAATTTTTGTCCTTATAACCACTTTGAATTTCAGCAAATCCACTTTGTTACATCAACTGACTTGTCCGTACTGACCCAGCTGTGCATGTAGCTATCCTGATAGGAAACAGGGCAGATCCTATTCATCTGACAGTGATTATGAGAAACGGATAAACAGGGGATAGAGGGAGGAGAGGAGAGAAAGAAGACAAAATAGTGGGAGGGACAGGGGATTTTTTTGTTATAGAGCCAGTGCTATCACTCAGCACTGCAGCCAGATGAGGGGGATTGTCTGGATGTCTGAGTCAACGTCTGAGTCATTGTCCAAGATAGAGTCACCACTAGGGTGGGATTAAAACAGGAAGCAGGACACCAGAAGTCAAGGCAGATGACAGCGGACATGGCGTGATTCCATGGCATGTCCCATTTGTGACAACTGGTCATGTTTACTGTTATTGTTGGATGAAAGTGACATGTCATTATGTGTTTATCACTGAGCGGTTGTGTCTTGAGTGGAGCAATTATGTTCAATGATTTTCCATGGCATTTAGTTTCAACAAGGCCCAAAAGGCAAATCCAGCACAGAGCACAGATTATGAATGAACTGTGGGGTCATAAAGGTAAGGTGAACTCCAGTGCAGTGACTTTTCCTCTCTGTTATAATCCGCTAACAGGTCCAGCCAGGTCTCCAAAAACAACTGCCAGAAATCAGCCCTCTGTACAGCGGTCCGCCAGGGTCAACAGAACAGCTCACCCACTGGCAGTTTCTAATACCAGGACACACAGGAGGGCCCCTCAGTCCTCTTCAGGTCCCAGGCAGCCTGAGAGAGCTTCGGCAGGAGCCCCCCCACTGGAAAGGAGACGCCAACACCACACCAAGCCTCAATCTGACCAGAGAAACCGAAACACACACAAACTAAGTAAGAAGACACAAATTTAGATTAAAGGGCAAAAGATTTAGGTGCTAGTAAAATATGACGCTAAAAAGACTGGCAGCCTCCAAGCTAGATTTTGCTGATCCTATTTTGTGATTTTCCTTTTACTTACTAATTTAATGAATATTAGCTAAACGTATACTTATACGTTTACAATATATTTTGTTTGTACTATTTTTAGTGTCCATAGTGTAAACCCTGGCCGTGCCTGGTATCCCTTTCTATTCATAGCATCTGAGTCCGTTCATGTGGTGTCACTGCAGGCACAGAAAGCCCTGGGCCAGAGCGCACCCATAAACAGAGCCGTCGCAGCCAAAACAACCACACCAGGTACCTGCAGGTTTAAAGAGCATCACTACATTCCTCTACATTTATCTGTCTATAATTTACATTAAAAATAGCTTAAAATAGCTCAACAATAATCATCTAAGTTGCAAATTTCATGAACTTTTGGTTGGCATGATGTCAGCTAGAATATATTAGTAACATTGGTTTGGAGCTAGACATGTTTGTCTCTACGTCTTTGTTTGTCTCTGTTTGTGTTGTCCAGAGCCACCAGAGTATGAAGCCCGGGACATCAGTGTCAGGGTCATGTCTCCTCAGTCAGTCCTCATCTCCTGGGTTGACCCTGCTGTTGAGATGGGGAAGGTCACCCAAATGGAATCCAGGTGGGAATCTGTTCAAGTGTGTCTGTTATTGAGACATAAAGGGAAAGAAAGTGTATTAAAGACAACAAGAGACTGAATAAGACAGAGTTCTAGGCCTGTCCACTGGAATAAAACATCCCCTTTTTCTCTTATCCCAGATCCTACACAATTAGGTACAGGGAAAAAGGTGAGTCAGCACGCTGGGAGTACAAGGACAGCACCCAAAGGAGAATGATGATAGACACCCTGTCTGCTGACGGCATGTATGAGTTCTCTGTCAGAATCTCTCAAGGAGAAAATCATGGGAAGTGGAGCGTCTCCGTCTTTCAGAGGACCCCTGAGTCAGGTATGCACAGCCACTGCCTGCTGAGAATTGGTTATAGAATATCATTAGGAAACGTGATGAATGGTGATTTATTTTTCAGAGGAACAGCTATAGAGAGCCAAAACACTGCATTTCATATGAAAATGGAATTTATTCTTGCGGAAAAGAATTCAGTCTTGCACAGCATGTCTGTTAGCCCATTTCTTCTTATTTCCTCATTCCACACTTCATCACATTCGCTGCCTTTTACTCCCACTTGATATTTGATTCAAGCTTTGGCTGCAGGTCTGTCACGATTGCAGATTTTATACAATGTCATAGCAGCTCCTGAGCTGTGGTTCATTGGAATGTGAGCATTTACTGCCTGGCTCACAGCTCAGATTTCCATCTGCAATTCCATACATGATCTCAAAGGGAGGTTCCTGACAATGTATGGCAACAAGCCTATTCACAGTTGAAGCCTCCTGGCACAAACGTCCTCACTGTTTTTACACAATTTAAGTAGCAATTTCCTCACCCTGTTCCCTCTATGCTGTTTCTGGTTTATGTTGCTGCTGCTGCTCCTCCATTCACTGCTGTCTTTCCATTCACTTGTGTTCTCCTCACTTGCTAGCACCATCTGGGCCTCCAGAGAACTTTGATGTCAAACCATTACGAGGGAAAGGAACTGCTGTCATAGCAACGTGGGATCCACCTGAAGAACCTAATGGGAGGATAAGAGGTCAGGCCACAAGGATTAAAGCCAAACTGAAAATAAATTGTTATACAGTATATCCTTGATATCCTTGGTGTTTGACTTGTGGACTTGATCAAAATTGTAATTACCAAAAAGACAAAATGTTTTATCTATTTTTTATCTGATAGCAAAGAAAATCTGTGTGGACTAGCAGTAAAAATATGCCTGGGTACTATACAGACTGTGTAAGTGTTAACGTCTAATGGAATCAGTGGTAATGTTAGCAAGTTAGGATAGCCAGTTGAACACTTTTTGAGTGGAATACAAACATCACAATACAATGGGTCCTTGTAAATGTTAAATATTGCAATGGGACAGACATCGTAAGGTCTTAGGTCCAGAATTTAGCAGGATCTATTGGCAGAAATTGAATATAATATTGATAGGTATATTTTCATTTGTGTATAATCACCTGAATATAGGCGTTATTGTGTTTTTGCTACCTTAGAATGAGCTGTTTTTATCTACAGAGCCCAGAATAGAAAAACCAAACAGTGGTTCTAGATAGGGCATTTTGGTTTGTGGCCTCTGTAGTTTTCCCTACACACTCTCATTCCCAGGTCATCAAATACAGATGTGAGTGGTGTTCAGTTAGTTGCTATCTGAAACATCCCCACTAGATACCACTAAATCTTATACACTGGTACTTTTAAACAATACATACCCATTGCTATGTTTCAGATTCAGATTTGTAACATAGATCTGTTAGTTATGGGATTTCTACACGACCTCGCTCCCCAACAGTTGTTCATGCTCTACCTTCACGCAGAGTACATCCTGTCTTATGCTCCTGCTATGAAGCCTTTTGGAATGAAAAGTATGACATACCGTGGCAGCATCAGCACAGCCACCATAGATGGCCTTACACCAGGAGAACGGTACATCTTCAAGATTAGAGCCACCAACAGGAGGGGGCAGGGACCACAGAGCAAGGCCTTCAGTGTTGCCATGCCAGGATGTAAGCATATTTGACTATATACACTATTTGTGGGCATGTATGCTTGAACATTTTATTGATTCATTACTATTTTTGTCTACTGCCAGCCAGCAGTGCTGCCTCACCGTTCTCAAAAACCAAAGACAGCCACAGGACTAGCCACACTCCTTCCAAACAGGATACAGACCATGATGAATCCGACCTCAAGTCAACAGAGGTACCAGAGGAACCAACCACACCGCCTCAGTCACGCAGGCGGTTACGCCCACTTTCCCAGACACGCTCCTATCACAGCATCTTCTCCTCTGTAAGGGGCTCAGTCAGGAATGCAGTGAACAGAGGGTCATCCAGAGGAAGAGCTCAGGAAAGAAAAGATCAGGAGGAAGAAAAAAAGAAAATACCCACAACGCCACCTACAGCAGAGGAGACAACAACCATGGAGGTTGTACTGGAGACAAAAGAACCAGACAATAATGTTTCTCCTGAATCTGAGGCTGAAATTATATATGAAAAACAGCCCCTAACTACTGAGACCCCCAGCCTCAAAGTTCTGACGCCCTCCCCGACTAAACCATCTACTCGTCCCAATCCACCACCCAGACGGCCCATTAAGATCAGGGTCCATCAAAAACCAGGATCCAAGGCTGCTTCATCCTCCTCATCCACCTCGTCATCTTCTTCTACTTCATCCTCCTCATCTTCTACCACCTCCTCCAAGTCCTCCTCTTCTTCTGATTCCTCCTCATCTTCTTTTTCTTCTACTTCCTCTTCATCCTCATCATCCTTACCTTCTACAACGTCATTATCCTCCTCCTCCTCCCGTACTCAGGAATCGGCAGCCAGTAGAAAGGATTATGTAGCTTCCACATACCCAGAGAGCAAAGACACATACGATAAGCTCAGCAAAACAGATACAAAAGCTTCCACCACAGTTGTAAAAGAGACCAATTCACAGCAGACAGAAGCTACATCTGTAGGCAGAGGTTCAGCTTCAGCTGGGCGCACCAATGGGTCTGGGTTTGGTTCTAGGTATGGTTATAGTCGAAGACATCCAGGAATTTTGTTCAGAGGGAATTCAACTCGAATGCCGAATGGTTACAAACCTGCCATCACCTCACAGTTGAATTTACCAAACAGAAACCAAGCAACATCAAACACACGTAGTTCAGCAACATCACAGTCCACTTTACCCGACAGGACTCAAGACCACAAAACATTACATACTTCCAATTCAGCAACTTCCAGGTCCCCTTCTAGAAGTGGAACCCTCAGTCAGGCAACATCAGATCCATATCATTCTGACAAATCACAGTCTACATCAGAGTCCAAGTCTCAAGGCTCTACTCAGAACTCAGGCACCAATCCATCCACTTCGCAGAGCAGCTCAAACCACCCATCCACCATAGACACGTCAAGCTCTTCTCAGTCAACTTCACGCAACACACACAACACAGAGAGTTCGCACACATCACCTGAGGGAGACACAGCAATCAGAGAGGGTAATGATGACAGTTATTACAAAAACACAGATGAAGCAACCAAAGTGGAAGAGCCTACTTCAAGCTCTAAACCACAACCCACAGAAGAGGAGAGAAGGGGGGAAGAAAGAAGGGAGGAAAGCAGTACTAAGAAATCTGTGGGTCCTCGTACCAGAATTAGCCCCTCATTTGCCGAAAGATTCCCTTGGCTAGCTAGCCGTTACCCAGGCAGACCTGGTCTAGGGACGAGAGTGTCGTCTTCCAAGCAGGATGGTAGGACTCCCCTGACCAGGACTTCATCCTCCATAGGGGCTGGCACACCTTTCTTGAGGGGGACACCCACTAGGGTTTCAGGGGCCACAGGTGCTGCAGGAGTGTCCAGGATACAGGAGACTAGTGAAGATCTGAGGAATCCTTCCACTCATGACTCGCTAAAGAATGGGGTTGGGGCAGGTTCAGTTAAGCCTTCTCTGACCAATATTAATACTAGAAACCCAACTACCTCATCCTCTTCATCTTCATCATCTTCCTCTTCAGCAGCCACTTCTTCAAACTCTGATTCCCATCATTCAAGTGGACACAGAGACTCAAGTGAGCCCATTCATAGAGAAACCTCTAATAACAATGATAACAATCATAATAAGGATTATCTTGATGAGAGGAGTAGAGAAATCAGTGGAAAAAATGATAAAGTTGCAGACCCCGCAGCCGCCCAAAAGAATTCCACTTTGACTTCAGTTGACCCTCTCAGAAATGCAGAGGATGATCAGAGTGTGGACACTTCTAGGACAAGACCTGGCTCACCGTCTGGAGTCACTCCAAGCCATCGTCGTCCTTTTGTCGGAGTGAATGGGAGGGTACGCTCTCCTCTGCTGACTAACAGGCAGTTTGGTGGATCTAGGCTTCCCATCAGACCACAGCCAGCACAGAACTCAAGGCTGGGTTCCTCCTCATCATCAGATTCCTCGTCTTCCTCAAATGTTCCCCAGCCAGTTTTGACCTCAGATCGTGACGTTGGCAGTGGCACTACTGTGACAAAGACAGGGGGAATAATTGGGGGCAACTCCCAGTCCACGTCGTCGTCCTCAGCATCTTCATCATCATCTAGAGACAGCTTTAGGGGGCCAGGGGGTAGGTCTCGCTATCCCATCCTCAGAGGAAAACCAAACAATGGAGGACAAATCAAGCCTGGCAATGGAAATGGTAAGTGCTAAAGTGCATGTAATTAAAAGTTGCAGCCACTTCCTTCCACTGTATTATTCAGAAGGTGCAAGGATTTGCTTGAGCAAAAAGCCAAATGATACATAATGTGTAGATGCATGAGACTGTAATCTCTGCATTTAGTAACAAAATTACTTAAATTGTATAATCATTAGGTAAAAATGGACGACCCAACCTGACAGCAACAAATGAAAAAGAGTCATCGTCCTCTCAGGGGATCAGCAAGGCTGCTGGTCAAAGGTTTATTACTGGACCTGATGGAACCAAATGGGTAACTATGTTTAATGAAGTAATTGAAACCATAGTTGTAATCTTACATTGTGAAGAACTAGTGCAGTGCCCGTAGGAAGTATGTACTGCTATAGAAAAGTGGGAGGTTAAGTAGCTTTTTCATGGATGGCCAAATGAGGTTGTGTTTGAAGGTGTAGACGAACATCCACAGATTCCAATTACAGTTTGTTGTCCTCGCGTATCCGAATCTCCTCAAACCGGAACAGACTCGGTCCGGACTCGTTCAGTCTCAGTAATCCACAACAGTCAATTTAGATGCACAGAACGGGACCGAACAGCCGGCAAAATCCACTGCAGGTATAAAGCTGCTCGCGCCGCTGCAGGTATAGATCAGTGTGTTTCTTAAGGTGTGTAGTGAGGGTGTGCTCTGCAGTGATTGGCTCTGGTGTGCACGTGGCTATGGTGGCTATGGTTGACAATGCTAGCAGAATTCATAAATCATTTATGAAATAATTTTTTAACGGTATCTTTGTAGTCCAAACAAAGCCGACGTTGCACACCCTTAAACCACACAGCAGCCATGTTGAAACTCTCAGGTCAGTCTGATCCTGATCTACAGAGATATTTGAGGCACACACACACACACACACACACACACACACACACACACACACACACACACACACTCACAGACACACACACAGACAGACAGAGAGTTCTTGCTTTTATAGAGAGATAGCATTCTTGATTATTTGAGCTAAACTTTGCAATACAAATATTTTAAGGAATAGTTTAACCTTTTGTGAAATATGCTTATTCGCTTTCTTAACAGGGATTAGATGACAAGATGGGTACCACTCTCATATCTGTGTGGTAAATATGAAGCTACAGCCAGGGGATGGTTAGCTCAGCTTAGCCTGACTGGAAATAGGAGGAAACACCTAGCCTGGCTCTGTCCAAAGTTAGTCTTCATCGGTAGTCCAGGAATTGACTGTACCTGTCCAAGAAATAGTCCAGCACATAACTCCCAATAACATAAAGTGTTGTTTTTACACCTGCTTGACATCAGTCTTCTCATCTAACTCTCTATAGGAAAGTCAATAGAAGTATGACTTCTTCTGACTAAATCTCACAGTCATGATGAGGAGAGAGTTTATCTCTAGACTGCTGTAGAGATTTTGCTAATCTTTTTGTGTCTCCAGGTGGTAGACTTGGAGCAGGGGGTTCTCATGAACCAGGATGGACAAGTTCTCCAGGACTCCCAGGGCAAACCTAAGAGAGTGGTTCTTGGAGAGGATGGACGCACAATTTTTGGTGAAATGCTTCAGTCAATCTTACATGACATTTAACATACAGTACAGCATGAACATGTATATGAAAAAAAATGAATAAAAATGTTTACTGTTCAAGACGAACTCGTAAATATATTCTGTTTCCCCTCCTACTTGTTCCACCACTACATCGACCACCAGACCTCATGGGCAGTCCCCTGGTAAATCAGGAAGGTATGGCTCTGTTTGGCCATGGCCGAGATAGCCAGCCTGTGGTCAACCCCAAAGACAAGGTCCTCATGGTTGGAGGGAAACCTGTTCTTGGCTTGGACCTTCCTCACCTCAGGACCACCACCACCACCACCACCACTACCACCACCATGGCTCCTACTACCACACCTGAACCCACCACAACCGAATGGATCATAGAGGAATCTACCACTGTACTTCCGTTCCCAACCTGTCCACCTGGAACCTTCTCCAAAACAGATGAATATGGGTATCCAGTGCTGGACCCAGACGGAATATTGGACTGTTATCCGGAAGGTGAGTATTGAGTCTTGACATGAGTGCTTGAAATTCTTCATAACACACTACAGACAGCATTTTTAAAAGACTGATCTAAACACAGATTTGTGATACAAGAATGAAACAAAATACTGCAGTGCCCCAACTTGCAATATTGCTTACTAAATATTTTTTCCACAGAACTGAAGTGAGGTTCAGTTCAAGTGTTTTAGAGCCAGAATAGTGAACATAAATAAGTATGACTTCACCAAATCTCTCAGTTGTATTGTTTGTCATAGCCATCCAGGCCAAGCCCATGAATGTTTCCTGTCTGTACCCACAGAGTCCTATAACTCTATAGCTGTGTGTGTGTCTTAACTGTGTGATCTGGCCAGTGTGTGTGTGTGTGTGTGTGTGTGTGTGTGTGTGTGTGTGTGTGTGTGTGTGTGTGTGTGTGTGCAGATGTGTATGTCTATGTGAGACCACAGGAACCACATGTAAGTCTCCACATCTGGGGCCTGGCTGTGGTCAGAGTACTGCTGGTTTAAATTCACTATGAGCTGTCAGTTGCACACTGCCATTAGTGTTATCACACAAAGACAATGAATGAAACATACTTACACACATGTATGAACACACAGAGCATGGGTTTTATAGTTATTACAGCACACATGGTTGGGAATTTGAAAATAATTAAATCCCTGTCAGACATGTATTAAGACATACATACAAATAGCCTGCTTTGAACAATAATGTGTGTCTGATATGTGTTTTTCACATTTATTTCCACATTAAAATCCTGTGTGTTCATGTGTGGGTATACATGTGTACATATGTATACTACTTCAGAAATGTACATGGTCATGTGAGATTGATGCTACAGCTTGTTCTGCTTCTCTGACAGAGGAATCCTCAGGAATGGAAATGGACCACATGGTTACAGTGACCATGGTGCCTGATGCTTTAGCTCTTAAGAAAGGTATTGGCTGAGTTTGGCTTCGGACCAACCTACCGCCACAAAGCTGGGATGGACTAAACAGTATATGCACATTGTTTGTTGACTGTGTACTGCACTGATTGATTATTGTCTATTTATCTGTCAGTGGGTCTGTTTGCTAGCTCTTCCTGTCTCTTTTGTCTTTGCCTTGCCTGTGGTCTTCACTTTGTTTCTCTTCTCATACGTTTGTTTGGCTTGGTTTTGGTTCATTGCTGGGTTTTTGGATATTTTCCATTATGGGCTGTTTTTAATCGCTTTTATTCCAAAAACTTGACCCATAGTGCATGTGAACTGCATTACTAAGCTGAAGAGAATGCCCTGGCTTATGTTTTAATGCATGTATTTGCTGTACTTAACGTTGCTTTGTAATAGATGAACCTTGGCTTTAGCCAAAAACTAGCTGAATGGAAAACCACAGCATTTGGTTGATGTGAGCCTTTGCACTTTGTAATTTCACTACAGGTGTTTGGATCTCTCAAGGAATCTGTTGCATGTGAGCTGCATTTGATATTTTCTTTCTTCTTTGGGTTTTGCTAGAAAAGACACATTGAGCGTTAAAGTATTTTCTTAGCATTTCCCTGCCATGGCTCAAAGCTGGTTGCATGTGTGTGGACCATGATGTAATGCCAAGGTCCACTGATGCAGCACAGGGGAAAAAAGTGATGAAAGTGAGGGAGCTAATTGAATTTCACCCACTGAATCCCTTCACATTTGTCAGCCTTGGAGACTTGTGAAATAGTTGTTGTCTTTATGCCCCCCTCACATGGAAAATATGGGTAGCAAAACATTACATAAGAATGCAGCTTTGGGTGTTTGGGAAAAAGGGTTATTTCAAAGTGAGCTCACACATCTGCCCACAATTAATTAAATCAGTTTGACACTCTTATTACACAGCTCATGGTGCCAATTACAAAGGATTAATGAATCACAGCAGCATGTTATTGAGTTAGGATGTAAATAATATAAATCTATTTAAATCAAAAGCTAACTGACACATGTGTTGTTGCCAGATGAGCTTTTTGTCCAGACCACCCTGCCACCCACAACTACCACCACCACCACAGAGATCCCATCCTCAGAGCCACAGACCAGACCCTTCAACAAAGGCCCTTCATCTGAGTATGACCTCAGTGGGAAGAAGCGATTCACAGGTACTTAAAGACAGAAATGTGTCCATCTACAAGTGTACATTCCCTCCTGTACAACGCTCACCACTCTTCCTCTCTTCTGCCGGAGTTTAGCATTGAGTCTCTTGTGCATCTCTAAACTTGAATTTCAGGTTTAATATCCCATTTCTATTATGCATGATGGATCTCTTTTTAAAAGGAACTTTTACCCCATCATACAGATATGCAATAAGTTATGCTTTCACCTAATATATGAAAAAACATTTGTGCATCTCCGAAGGAGCAAGATATTACATTTTTCTGTTGGTTTCTCTTCCAGAGTTTAGAGTCTGCTGTGTAGCTCTAAACTCAGATTTGAGGTTTAATATCACATTCTCATTATACATGATGGATCACTTTTTAAAAGGGACTTTTAAAATCTCAGATATAAAAGGTTATACTTACTAATGCTCATCCCAAGAGGCAAGAGATTATACCTTTTTATTGGTTTCTGTCAGTTTAGTTTACTGTACATGCTAGAGAAAGACGCATATTATCTTTATCTGACATGTGTATGATGATGATTGACCATGCATGCTTGCTGTCTGAGTATTACTTTTTTTTTTGTTTCCCTGTTCAAGTATGTGTGCATGTGTGTGCTGAAGGTCTCTCGGCGCTGTAAATAATGATAGACTGATGGGAGTTCTGTTTTGTTTTGTGGAAGAGTAATACATTTGGACCTCTATCTTGGCTTTCTCAGCAATACCTCATAAATATGTGACCCTCTCGGACTTTACAGTAACTATCGGCCAAAAAAAGGAAAAATCTAACATTACTCTGAAGTGTAAGTCATTTTTTCCTCTCATCCATATCATAATGTAGGTGAAATTGCACATTATACTACAGTAGGGTCTCATGCAAACTGCGTAAGTGCCAAACAGTAAAACACTTGATTTGTGAAATCCATGTATGAATATATGAATTAATTTTATCTGTGGAAAATGGGAATAAGTGTATCTCCAGTAATTGGCTTAAATTGGTTCCATCCAACCATAATTGGATTAAAATAGCAAAGTTCATTGCGGACACATTGTTCAGGGTCTCCAGACTTGATCCCAGTAAACTTCAGCCCCCTGCTTTCTTTTTACTGTTCCTACGTGCTTACTTTGGCCTCTCATACCCTATCACCTCATCTGGTTGCACAAACAGGCCACAATATTCTCTTGACAGAAATAAATACAACATCTACTTGACTCCAACCTTCTAAAAACTACATAATGTCAGAGTCCCTGTTGTGATGGTGCTGTAACAACAAACTTTGATAATACAAGCATTTACCGAAGAATACCAGTAAGTTATTATCATTTAAGTTTTTATTGGTAATAAAGTTGGAGCAAAGTCATTCTATTTACTCTAGTAAATAGCTGTAAAAAAAGTAAGGGATAATCTATTTAGAGCAGTGTGGTTATTAAAATATAACCCACAACATGAGCCACCACATATTGAATTAGTTATTTTTTATAACTGTACAACTCACAGTGGATTATGAGACTTATATCATGTACGATTAACGAAAACTAAGATGTAAAAACATTTATCTATTTTTTTTGACACTGTCTTTGCAAACATTTTCGAAGCCATAGCCTAGTAATAGCTGAAATTACAACACTGTAAATTGACTTTGACATGTAAAATGATGGACAGATTCTGGCCAATCAGAATGAACTGTTATTTATTCTGGATGCGAATGAGCCCAGAGTGCCATTAGCTTCAATGTGCGCCTTTTGCTAGTCTGGCAATGTGGATAAAACCTTGAGTAATGGATTGACTATCACTTAGTGAGCATTATTGAGGCAACCCGTCACTGTCACTTATACTAATCTTTGTGAGAAACCTTCAAAAAGGGAAGATATATGGCTGTGTCTTTAGCAATCTCAGAACTATTGGTATCATCTGGTCCAGAGGCAACAGCGGAACAATAACTGACTTACTCTGGACACCATCTATCTTGGTAAACAACGACTATCTTGTGATCACACACCTCACATAGAGCCATCTGAAAGCCATTATTCTCTCTAAGATAAAAGCTGACAAGAGGAGAAAAGCAGTCAAAATCATAAAAGTTAAGGGTGCTGACCTCAGCACAGGGAGAAGACTTTGCTGGCTCAAAGTGGAGACATCCTCTTTCCTATTTATTAGTTTAATATTTTTTAGGTCCACTTCAGCAGCCTGCCAGTTGACTGACATGCTTTGCATGAACTGTCTGACAGAGACTTCCCCTTTGTCTCTTTATCTGTCCAGGCATGGTTTTGTTTGAATGAATATAGCCCAAGGCAGACGTGGGACAAAAAGTATTAACTAATAATTATTAGCAGTTGCGTGAATCTGCTTTACAGTAAGATCCAGATGGATAGAATTTGCCACATTGGACAAAAATGAAAATGAGTACCAGGATGTTTGGACTATTAGAGTGCTAAATTATGCCTTACTAGACTGATATTAGAGTTGACATTATGTGAACTATACTGATGCTGTTTCCCAGTGACATTTGATCCACATCAGGCTCACACACGCCAGTTTTTGTCAGTGTTTTTGGATTTGCTTTTTCAACAAGCAGAAGAAGACGATGTGTCTCTGTAGGTAGGCGTTTCACCATTTAAAAATGGACATGAGCAAGGCAAAACATCTGGATCTTCTGTGTGCACAAACCTGCACAGATCTTGAACATGTGGAGGCTGTAGAGAAATACAACCTTACAAGCACCCTGTGTATAGAAAGATACATAAATCTGCTCACCTTGACAACAGATCAAGTATTTCAGTATATGAATGCGTAAGACATAAGCCATATGACTGCATACAGTAGGAGCTTGTAACAGCTTAAACCCACACAACCTCACAGACTGTCTGTTGATGTGTAGATGCTGACACGTGTTAGACTCTTGGCCTGCACAGAGGGCCAATCATCTGGGGTGGTGGGAGCAACTCCAGGCTCCAGTGGTTCCCTCCAAATCCCAGTCAGACTAGGAATTGTGGGATATCTGAAGTATTCACAGCTGTAGGTCCAGCTGGCATTACCAGAGTTATTGAATAACAAGTAAAAAAGGGGAAGAGAGGAAACAAAGGAAAGATAGAGGGGACGGTCATGTAGGCAGTCACGCTAACTTCTGATTCCCTCTTTAAAAAACAACTTACAACAAATCACAAATTATCTCATAAGGACTGAATAGGACTGACAAAATTAAAACCATATGACCTGGAAAAGTAGTATATAAGTTTGTCCCATTGGACTAATTAATGATATACATTTTTTTGAAATAATGCATGATAAATATTTAAATTCATTTATAATTTCCTATATTTAAATAACTTACTTGATTCCTTTCCATCACTTTTTCCTGCCTTCAGCTCCCTATGTGAACTACATCCGGAAGGACCCAGGTGCTCCTTGCTCCTTGACGGAGGCCCTGGAGTATCTTCAGGTCGACGTCCTAGAAGACCTGATGAAGAAGGACAGTCTGGCAGCCAATCAGAAACAGCCTCCCAAAAACAGGCCTCATAATTTCACTGTGGTCGCCATGGAGGGCTGCCACTCATTTATCATCCTGGACTGGGCCCGCCCACTTAAGGGTGATATGGTGTCAGGTAAGAAATATTTCTCCAAAACTTAAAGCTGAACTAAAATTAAATTTTATTTTTGTTAATGTGTTTTTATTTATTACTAAATTACTAACTAAACTTAAAAAAAGCTAATTTTAAAAAACTTAGTTTCCATCCACTGCTGTAAGAGAGAGGGCAGAAAAAAGGTTGAACTTGAATTTGTTGTGTTCACACTTCAGTACAGTCTAAAAACTATATAAGATATATTGTGATTCTCCTGACATTTCATCTGTTGTGGTTTAGGATATGCCTTTAACATTTTACCAGCATCCCTCCTGACTTATTTTAAGAACTTACTCCTACAGTTTATTGTGAATAAATCATGAGAAAAAAGGCTGCATTCAACACAAGAAATAGAGCTCCTTTAGCTCCTACAGAATTTATCAGGGAAAACCAAAGTTCCTATGACCATAGAAAGTGACACATGGGGAAAAAATGAACAGAGAAGAGACTTAAGATAACAGCCCTCTGTATGAGACGTGGTGGAGTATCAGAGGTAAAAGTCTGGCCAGCTAGCGATGCAGTGCATTGGCTTTGGCAGCAAAACACAAGCTCCTGGTCATGCTGTGGGCTGGCCCGTCTTCTGATGTGTAAAACAGATAGATGGTCTGTACTGTCACTGCTGTTTTATTCCCTTCGTTCTTTCCATCTGTTCTCCTCGGTGTTTCCTCTCTGCTCACACACTATCTTGACACGTTCTGTATTATTTGCATTTTCATGCTTAATTTGTCTTGAATTTCTTCCACCTAATCCTGATTTTCTCCCATTTCAAATATTTTCTCTGAGTTTGTTTTAGCTTGCACACCATGTTGCCTTCCAGAAACTAATTTCTTTTAAGTGGTGTGATGCTGATGTAGTGTTTCTCTGCTTTTATGTATTATATAAAAAATACGTTGGCCAAATCTCTTTGAACTTTTACTTATATTGAGTTTTTATGTGAATTCCCTTATAAACTGTAGTACTGTAATATTTCAAAGACATATACCATAGATACAGCAGTCATGATCCGATCCATATGCAGGTACAGTTCACACATGCAGATACAATCACAGGGCGCTGTTTTAGTTATTAGGGTGTGTTTGCACAACCATGTCTTACGAGTTATGGGTCACGGCTTTCAAAACAAGTGGATGGAAACAGCTGTTAGCGAGTGGACTCAAGAGAAGAGGGACACTGGTATGAGTTTTTGCCTGAACCCAACTCCATTTCCATTTCCATTTCCATTTATTCTGATGCATTGAGGACCTTCGGCTAAAACGTTTTAGGCAAAACTTACTCATTATTCACTGAATATACTGTAAGTGTTGCATTTGGCTTAGGACCAACTCCTTGGGAAACATTTAATGTATTTATACTTAAATTATGTAAAGATAGAGACACGATACCAAAGGCAAGAGTCTAAATACTACACTGCCAAACCATCAGTTCAACAATGTAGAATGGGAAAGGAATGAAAAACTAAAGGAAGGATAACAAAGTAGCTAGTATTTCCCTTCTCTCCTGTCAGCAGCCAGCTGTGTTGGTGTGGCTCCAGTAAAAATAGAAATGCAAACTCAAAAGTCCAATAGAAACAGTTGGTAGTTTGACGTGCAGCAGAGCTGGTCTCTACAGTTTTGAAGCGAGTGAAGAGCCGTGCGTGACCTGAGGTTGCTTGGCGGATCCTAAGGATTAGTCTCTGTGACTGAGAAGAAGAAGAAGAAGAAAACAGACAGACGGGCAGGATGGAGGACAATCAGCATGAGTTGCAGAAAATGCCATGGCTGCAGTTTTTCTTCAGAGTTAAATGTATATGGGAGACCACCTACTTACATACTACATAGTTATAGGTCGTTTGAGAGATTGGTCCAAGATTGATAAAGCAAACATTTTTGCAGGCTGTAGAGGTGCTCGTTGGTGCATCTGTCATCTTTTGATAAAGCCAGACAAGCTGTTTCCCCATGTTTTTGTACAATGCTTATCTATCTGATTGTTGGTGGTAGCTTCATGTTGACCTTACAGACATGAAAGCAGTATCGATTGCCTCATTTAACTCTTGGCAAAAGAGTACCAAAGTCAGAGAATTCCTTTAATGTTGAACCTCATTGTTGTGTTTCATACGGTATCTAACTTATATATAACAACCAATGATCTTTGCCCCATATTTTGCATTGTTCCCTGCAGGCTACATGGTCCACAGTGCATCCTATGATGACGTCCTCAACAATAGATGGTCCTCTAGAGCCTCCAGCGGGACACACCTGCCTGTGGAGAATCTCAAACCCAACTCTAGGTAACACATAACCAGCTGGTGTGTGTTTATATCATTGTGTATGCATGCATACAATACACACGCTTAGAGGGAGGTTGAGCACGTGCACAATGCTTTCAGGTTCAGTGATTCACAGTTTCATCTCACACATGGGAGTCATAGCAGAAGAGAACCTGAACTTACAAACAAAGATTTGCTTGGTTGCAAAATCCCTTTACCCTGTAGTGTGCATGATCAGGTTGCTGCCTCGGGTGCAGGTGCTTGGCTGTAGCTTGGGAGTGTTTATATCTATTGTGGAGTGTTTATATCATCACATAATGCACAGAATACGCATATTGTCTGGATGTCTCTGTGTGAGTTCATGTATGCATGCTCTTATGTTGCCAATTATGAATCAAAAACCAGTGAATCAAACCAGGCTGACTGTGATCAGAGCACAGTGTGAGTTGGATACTGATACTGTTTGTAAAACAGATAACAAACCCTCAGAGTAAAGTAAATCAGTTTGGATAATTTGACACAGGTTAAGAAACACATTTGGATCTGCACCAAGATGTGGCGTGATGTAAAAAGCACTGGAAAATACAGTGGAACGTAAATACAGCACACATTATCTGACACTTACAAACAGAAAGGGCCGCCTTGGTCTGTTTCAGTTATTAGGCTGTGTTTCCACAACCCTGTCTTACGAGACACGGGTCACGGTTTTCAAAATAAACGCCTGGAAACAGCTCTTAGCACGTAGACCCAAGAGAGGAGGCAAGATGTTCCAACTTGAAACTTATTTTTTCTTACCACTGTGGATTTAGTGTAAAGGTAATTTGTGCTCTAGCTTCTTAGCTAATATATAAAAATTATCAATTTTACTTGGGGCTACAGGATCAGAATATGCACATCTGTCTATCTATAATTTCGTTCATGGTGAAAGTTAGATCATACAAATTGTCTTCTGCCATCTGTCTTCTGTCAGTGTGAAATGTGAATGGACCACACATACTTTAGATGGGCTGCGATCTATGGTAATCTACACAAATTCTGTATATTTTTATGACATCCCATAGATCTGTTAAAATGAGAGATTAAGTATATTTTTATACTTCTGTCACATATAGCTCAACAGATACTGTCCAAAAAGTCCTGATGTGGCTGTTCTTCATCTGGTACACCAAATATATATATATATATACATATAAGAAAACATATTTAGATATTGGTTTTAGCAAGTAATTTCACCATTATCTGGTGGAAAAACAGTTTCTTATGTGAGTTCATTAGGAACAGAAGTATCCTCTTGCCCGATAAAAGCACAGATCTGTTTGACGTGTTATGAAAGGTGTCTCATCTCGGGCCGCAGGAAACCAAACACCTGCTGCTGAATACAAACAGCAGAGCTGCATGAATGGGTAAAGTTTTCCAAGAGTCTGCAAAGAGGGTTTCCCTCCCTGGCAACCAGCTTGTATCCACGATAGTGCGTATCCCGTGGTTACGGTTGATCCTGGGATGGTTTATAGGACACTGTTGGCATTTCCCATGCTGCAGGCTCTTTCTAGTTGCCAGAAATACTGAGCTACTATAGTCCTAAACACACACATATGAATGTACACTCGCATCTGGACATAACAAAGGACTTGAACATCTCATCCTCGTGGTTTTAAACTTTTAACTTTATTGAGATGCCTGTCATTGTTTAATCAGCAAGCAAAATGCCAGATATTTCTTGACTCCAACTTTGCTTCTTTTCTTTATCTTATAGTAAATTGATTTTCTTTGATTGTCGGACAGAATAAGACATTTGATGACATCACATTGGGCTTTAGGAAATCTTGGCATTTTCACTATTCTTTGGTCTTTTATCGACCAGAAAATCTTTTCATCAAGAAAAGAATGATCAGATTAATCGATCACCCTAGTTTTGTTCCTGTACTTATTTCTTCTGTTGTATTCAGGTCTAAGATTTCTTTTCAATCACACAAGAGTGTCTTTAGAATAGTTTTCAGTGTATAATCAACTTCTACATGTGCACCAGTTCTTGTGGCTGAACTATCATGTATTCTGAGGAGGCTGAATTTGGGCCTACAACATGTGCAGTTGCCACATAGACGTTGATCTGAAGAGAAGACAAGAAGAGCGATGTTCTGAATGAAAATTTAAATGGCTAGCTTGGCTTGACGTAGCATCTTGTGGTCTATCTCAGATTTTATATTCTGGCTCACAATTTCTTTTCTTCTTTTTTTTCTCTACCATCTCCAATTTCTGCTTTCATTGCATCATCTCTCTGCAGCTGCCTTGCTGTCCTCTCTCTCTCTCTCTCTCTCTCTCTCTCTCCCTCTCTCTGGTAATATATATTCTGGTCACTGTTGTCACGTGGCTGTAGTGATTGGATCCAGGCCTCGTGGCTATACGGGGTGAAAGTTTTTGGCTAGTAATTAACAGACCATGAACTTACTGTATGTGACCTTGCATACCGGAGGAAAGCATATAACACACACATGCACAACACAACAGCCATCTAGAGTGGAAAAGTTAGCCAACTCTCAAAACTGTCACTGGCTGGTGTTGTTTTTGGTCTGATGGGATTTTATAAGTCCTCCACCAACCGGAGACAAAGTGAGCTCACAGAATGACTTTGTTGAGAAAACTTATGTCATAAAATAAAGCTCTCGGTGAGAAATTTCTCTTTCGAGGACTCTCTCTCCTGCCATTTATCTATTTCCTTTCAGCATACATCTCTCCTTGTGCTTTACTTTTTCCACCTCCCTCCCTTTTTCTGTCTTTCATTCTTATCCTCTCCTCCTATCTGTTAATCTCCACTTGTCTAGATGTCTCTTTTTCCTCTCACCGCCCTTCCCTCCACTCTCCTTTCCTCCTTCTCCCTTCAACGTGAGCCAAATAGCCATTTTATTGTGCTGCGCTCACTTTGGATTCATACCAATATAAAACAGACTACTCCTAAATCAGCCTGACTAAAGCATGCCCGGTCATCTGCTATGGTCATTAACATTTTCCTCACCTTCGCCCAGTCACAACAAGACTGGCCGACTGACACTTTAACTACTTAATCTCTCATTAAATCCTTATGTTCTGGTTTGTTTTCATTCAGGTACTACTTCAAAGTGCAGGCCAAGAATGTGTTTGGTTTGGGACCAGTCAGCGATACGCTCACCTATGTCACCGAATCAGGTGTGTGTCCTGTCAGCGCCTGCAAAGATAAACTTTGAGACGCCCACTGACTACAGTCAAACCCTTCTGTCAAGATTTTCTGCTGTACTGCAGTGCTTAACAAAAATGTCATGGCGATTTCATTGCAATGCAAGATATTCAAATATAAAAACCATGCTTGCAGTAGAAGCAGACAACCAGATGTACACTGCATTATGAGCTTTGCGGGTCTTTCATTCTCAAAATCAGGTGAATACATTAAACTTGCAGTGCTGTCTGTGCTTTTCCTCCCTTGTGAAATGATCGCATTCTTTCTTTCAGACGACCCACTTCTTATTGAAAGACCACCTGGTAAGTCCATACGCCGACTGCACGTCTCTAATTTAAGGTCAACAAGCCATGTCCTACCCAAGCTGCATTGAGGTTTTAAAGACAGAGACGTCATTCTGTTAAACAACATGACAGGATATACAGTGATTCTATGTGGATTTTCACTCCCCAACAATGTCCAATCAGTGGCACTCCTTTGTGTGCTGCTGTGTATAGGTAAAGGATTTAAATGATTGGCAAAGAAAAGTCACTCTGAATAACCCTTGAGTTTTATTGGAGCTTGTTTCAATATATAGGGTTCAAAAACTGAAAGCTGCTTCTTCATGTTTAGTTTTTACTCTGGGGACAGTAAGCATACCTGTCCTAGACCTGTCTGAGTGGTTCATAAAGGATCAGCAGATCAAATTATGTTTTGGTACTAACCCATTCAATACTTTATAACCCAATTGTAGCATAAATCATCATCACATAAGATATAAACAGAATTTAGTTATATGTTTGAAATCCATGCCTTCTGGCCACCTTGGGAACTGACCATTTAATTTCTAATCATAACAGTAACAGTAAATATTTGATATACTAATTGAAACCTTGAATTTTATTTGTATTGCTCATCTTTACAGACACAATTTATTTATTCTCTCCATCTTCTCACCCTCCTCTACGTATACACAATGCGTCTGTTCATGTGAGGCATATTTTACCGCCACAACACGATGCATCTCCTCCTCTGTTCCTCCCTGCTCCTACCAGGTGGAGAACCAATCTGGGTCCCCTTTACCTTCAAGTATAACTCGGCCCACAGCAGCTGTAAGGGCAGCCAGTACGTCAAGCGGACTTGGTACAGGAAGTTCGTGGGCGTGGTTTTGTGTAACTCTCTGCGATACAAGATCTTCATGGGAGATGGTCTTAGAGGTAACATATGACTGCTATTTTAAACTAGTTATCAGCCAAGATATGTTTCTGTTGTTATGTAAATTAAAATGTCCTAATTATGATTCCTACTTCCCATTTTCCCCATACAGAGCCCTTTTACAGTATAGGAGATACATTTGGCCAGGGAGAGGACCACTGCCAGTTTGTGGACTCCTACAGGGATGGGAGGACAGGCCCGGCCTACCTCTCCAGTAATCTGCCCTCAGCACAAGGTAAACAAGAACAGATTGTACACACATTGCACATTTGGGGCTGTGACATTTAGACCTAACCTATTATCTTTTTTTCCATTCAAACCGGCTCTCTGGCTCTTTAGTGGACCAGCTGCATTGATCTTATCGATGCAGAATACTATGAATAATGTTTAAAGGAATACTTGTTAAAAGACCTACCAGGGTTTTTCATTGTTTTATCCCAAATCTCACATGCTTTTCATTACCACGGACCATTTTCCTAATTATAACATAACTTCTTAAATGGATGCCATAACTTCCTAGGAATGATAGCTTCAGGTCATATCAGCACATAATGAGAATACTTGAAATAAGTAATCAACCACAGTGAACATTATTTACTGGTAGTTGACTTTGTTTTTTAAGTTACACGAGGCAAATGTAGTTAAAGCTCAAAGTAGGAGGTGTTGTAAAAAACATTCTGTTGTTGTGTGTTTGACATCCAAGATTTGAGGAGCAATAAAATGCAAAATTTACAGCTTCAAATATTTGTTAACTCTTATATAGTTTTAATAGAAAAAAATAAAAAAAGTTCCTAAAACTGCTGGCCATTTCTCTCTCTTAGTCTACTCCTGTGAAGGAAGATTAGCCCACTGTAGTACTCAGTTATTCAATACTGCTGCTTCTTTTTATTGAACTTGATCAGGATTTTTATTGGTCAGCACCATCATAATGAAACTTAAATAAATGCATAAATTGCACTCACTATTCTTTACATGACACATGGTGTCGCCATTTAGTTTAATTACTTTTGGATTGATTGATTTAAGATAAACTGAAGGGTTCATCTTAAGGAACCAGGTCACATTGTAGGTCCTTGTCACAAAGTAATCAGAGATATCAGGCTTTGGTTATACAGGCAATACTAGTCAGTAAGATCAAGTCATTGTCTTTTCACTGGATTTGTTGAAAAAGAAAAAAAACCCTAATCATTTGAGATGTAAGACGCTCAAGAAGGCAGTAGAGTTGTCGTAAATAAATACTTGCTGAATGAGGGTTAAATCCAGACATGCTCACTCCATTTCTTTCAAGTCTCCCGACACATTTCAGTAAACTGCTATGAACAGCATTTCCATGTGTTTTCTTTTGCAGGATTTTATCGTGCGTACAGACAGGAGCCAGTTTCATTTGGAGTTATTGGCCGACGTACATCCCATCCATTCGTGGGCTGGTATGAATGTGGAGTGCCAATCCCCGGGAAGTGGTAACACAGGAGGAGAAGAAGGAGACATTGTTACCGAGGGCAACCCTTCCGCATCCTGCTGCAGGCTCTTACAGTCACTGGTCCTGCCCTTAAAAACAGACTTTTGCCTGCCACAATGAAAAGACACCACTACGACTTTAATACAGCTTCACAGAAAGAGAATATAGTACTTTTAAACAACTCAATGTATATCATTACCATGCACTTTTTATATAAAGCAGTTTGTATATGAGGGAAAAAAGAAGCATGTGTGCTCTTGCTTAGTTTAACTCTTGTCTGAAAGTGTCCTCGTACTATTACCAACTATCCCAGAGACAGGTCCTCACCCAGTGTTATTTATCTCATCAATAATGCACACAAACCAGTGACATTGGACCAAAGCACAAGCTGCAAAGCAAACTGTAAGAATGGGCACTTAAGGTGTGTGTATAGGTCTGTTAATTTTCAGTCGTGAGATTTGTATTTCATAATGTAACGGCTTCTGACAGCTACTTTTTTTGTTGTTTATTTGTGTTCTTAAACCATCATACTGTTTTTTTACACCCTTTTGGTATTCACCAGAATTCATTAAAAGTTACTGTGTAAGTTTTGTATGTATACAGACAAAGAATAAAAGACCAAATATTTGCTCAGGAACTGTGGGAGATTGAATAAAGGTGCTATGGAAACCACAGCAATCCAAATACATGAATCATATCATATTCTCCCGCTGACACATTCTTTTCTAGCCAAAGCATTCACACGTGATCCAGATTTATTCAATCAATCTAATGGAAGATTTGAGTAAGAGAATGTTTGTTTGGGCCAGTTGGAGGAGCAACTATTCAAATCAGATGACATGTCAAAAACAACATATCATGGACAGAACCAGGTGAGGGGGAATGAGTCGAAGAGAGAGAAAATACCAGTTCATGAGCAAACGTGAACAGAAGCATTAGCCATGTGTATAAAGTTTTAACACACTGAACCAGAAATAATCTAATTGGAGTTGTTATGCATACCTTTTATACAATCATTTGATTTGTCTTGAAATCAGTGGTGCAAAGTAACTAAGCTTAAAGGACCAGTGTGTAGGATTTAGTTGCAGAAAATGTCCTGTTTAGAGCCAGTGTTTGGTTTGTCTGTTCTGGGCTACTGTAGAAACATGACGGTTCAACATGGCAGACTCCATAGAAGAGGACCTGCTTCCTTTGTAGATAAAAATGGCTCATTCTAAAGTAACAAAAGCACATTGATTCTTATTTTCAGGTGATTATACACTAATAAAAACATACCAGTGAATATTCTATTCTACTTCTGCCACAAGATCCTCCTAAATGTTACACACTGGACCTTTAAGTATATAAATTAATTTATTTTCTTGAATATTTCCATTTTCTGCTACTTTATACTGTACTTTCTACTCCATTATATTTACCTGGCAATTGGAGTTACACTTACTTAATTTTCAAATTAAAGGTTTTACAATAAATTGCAATCTAATAATATAATATACATATAACATTATGTGTCAATTTTTCTGCAGAAAGAGTTCTTTTACTTGGTTTTGGAGGACATATTCAGATCTTTTACTTTTACAAGTCCTGTGTTGAGAATGGCATGTGAAAGTATGTAAATATGATCAGAAAATGAACTTATGTGATGCTCATATGCAAAAAAAACACTGTGAGTCAGCGTAACAAATCATGTTATTGGATTATCATTACGTTATTGATGCATTACTGTGTAAATAGCATTTTACTGTTACATTTTAATGGTCATATTATTAGGTAGAAAAATCTGTAACAATCATATTTTATAAAATCATCATAATGTTTTGTTGGAAAATCTTTATCTGCAATGTAACAGGTAAATTGTAAAATAAATATATTGGAGTCAAAAGTACAAATTTGCATGAAATGGATATACTAAGTAATGTTTGCACTTAAAGGTGACATATAAAATATAAAAATATAAATATAAAATTCATATTCGTGTATAATCACTTTAAAATAAGAATAGTTGTGGACAGTAAGTAAATCTACTTAGTTACATTCCACCACTTTACTTTTGATACTTTAAGAACATTTTGCTGATAATACTGGTATTATCATTATTATTATTATTATTGGAGTGTTTTTACATTGTTATATTGGTGTTTTTACTCAAGTAGAGGTTCTGAATACTTATTCTACCACTGCTCGAAATAAGACCCACATCTGCTGTGTTAGATTTGGCAAGCCTTACTGTACACATTTGTGGAACCAATTATCATTGGTATATTCTGGATAATTTAAAACCGAGTATTAATCCAATTACCTGGTGGACTTGTTAGAATTTGCTTCTAATGTTGCTTAATTCAGATAAAATCTTTGACACAGAATAGTCATTTTCATGCCCAAAGCTAGTTTTGGGGCTCAGATTTTTTTTACTGTGTGTTTGAACACGAATTAGTGTCCATCTGTGTAAAATAACTTATTTTTAAAAAAAAGAAAAATATATGATCATAAGTGGGTCAGTGCTACAATAAACCAGGTGGAAAATATTTCCAAGATGAGGCTAAATGAATGGAGAGGTCTATTTGTTGCCAATTGTTCATTACTCCAGTCATGACATTTTTAGATTAATCTGGAATTAACCGTACTGTGAGGGTGATCGCTTTCTCCCTAAAGCCCAACAGCACAACCAGAGCTGCCTATTTCAGTGACTGAAACTGATTACATCTGTCAGTTTTGACTCTGTGAAATTGATAATATCCAGTAGCAGCCAGGGTATTCGTTCTAAATACATACTGCACAACGTATCACTTATTAATCCCCATCATTCCTCCAAGATAGGAATAGTATCTTTATAACCAAAATACTGAGCCAAGATACTTTATCAATATGCTATACATCTATCACTATGACACCTAATTCAACCCTCGTATTCAAGCCAAGAATGGGATTCAAATTTCACTCTGATTAGCGCAAGAAATATGGAAGTATAGTGCAGAATTTCTGAAATAATAAAAAGGATTTATTCCATTACATTAAGCAGAGTTGATACAGCTTTTACTTACCTTACTTAAACTCTGCACAGTGTCAAAGGTCTAACCTGCGGTCCCTTATCTGAAGAGTGCAGGCAGTAATTTGTTGAGGTTGGCTTCGATATGTTATGGTAGTCAGATTCAAATGACGTTAGATGCAGAGGGACTTGTCACAGGGCGTAAAATACTACCCATGGGCAGTGATGGAGAGATAATGATTGTTTTTGAAGTGATAGCTGACGAATTTGTCAACACTTTGGTGGATGGATGACAGATTTCAGATATATTTTCCAGGTATGCTGAGTCTGGATGAAAGCCTCTGCTGCCATGTGTTTTCAGTGAGTGATGAGCCTCTCTTTGCCCCAAAATATTTTCATTGGCTGCCGGTTGCAGTGCCATTTGACTTGAACAGAGAATAATGATACAAATTGCAAAGCACTATGGGAAACCCCATCCTGATCTGAGACCTAAGACAGACATTAAGGCAAGAAAATACAATTTCTCTTTTTACTTTTGTTAATGCAAGTATCTTTTGCTTGAGAGGAGAAGAGGAAATGAAGAAAAAAGCAAATAGAAAAAGGGAAAAGAAGGAGACGGGAGGACAAACGCACTTGATAAACACATGAACATGAAGGCTACCACATCTGCTACAGATGTTAGAGAGGATAAAGTCATTGGCCCTTTTCTACTTTAACTCTTATGTGTGCGTGTGTGTCCCGGTCAGAAATGATGACTGCTGTCAGAGGGAAGAAGATAGATAGATAAACTATAACCAATACAACGGTACAACGCAGAGCTACAAGCAGGAAAACAGGCCTGTGGTCCAAGATTTAAACTCTGCACCATGCCTCCCCCAGGCGTTGCTTCTTGGAAAGACCTGAAACACAGCATTTAGAGCATGATGCCGAAACTCCTAATTGAGGCATTTTAACAGCCATTTCATCATAATAAAATTAAAAAACGATGCTTCAAACTAGAATTTTGACCTTGTGAAACTAAAATCAATCCTCATAATAAAGAGTTTTGATGTTACATAGAGTTCTGGGAAAAGAGCACACATTGCCACATAAGTAGATTGTAGTTTTATGACTCATATTTACAAAAAACTATTTTGGAATAGTTGATCAGTAGAGTGCTCAATTATGGTTGTATCTCTACTCGCCAGTAAAGCTAATACTGATAAAAGCCTATTTCAGACCCTTTGCATCAAGCATACAATCTTTTAGGTGGTGTCTGTGGCAGGGTGGTCTGGGATGGTCCTCGGGAAAACATCTGCTCCACACGCCAGTGGAATAGACAGCGTTTGGCTAACAAAACATAGAGTCACTGATGTTGTCATTTTCTCTTCTCATTAAGAATTTACTTTGTCATCCTTCAGCATCAAACTTTGGATCAAGAATTGGATAGTGATTTGTTGCATCTGCTTTGATCAAGGAGCGCAGCCAAAAGCTGACATCAGAAGACAGAAGGATGTGACCGCCATCAACATCAGCCCCATGTACACATACACAAACGCTGCCTTTTAAATTTTTCCAAAGATGTTGAAATTTCACATATTTGCAGCCAAGCTAACGCTATGACATCCATCCATAATGACAAGGCACTAAAACATCAGAAGTCAGCTATTTTCCAGTGTTTGTCAGATCCTCCGTAATAGTTTTCAGTTCAGGTCTGCGCACAGAGCAAGCTGCAGATCCTTTATATGAAAAAAGGGCAAAAGGCCACGAGTGCTTGATTGAGTCCAGGCCCAGCTGACTTTCCACACGTGGTTCTTACATTATAAATTCAGCTACTTTTTAAATGCCAGTCAGCTACTCACTGGATTATTGTGTTGATTTTAGAGAAAGCTCATCTCAATACATTTGAATATAGCACAAAATTGCTTAATTACAGGAGCATTAAAATCTCATAAGACAAACTGTGTGGTTGTGAAAGAATGCAGGTCTTCTAACTGTTTTCCACATGCTGCTTTTTTGTTTCTTTTTGATAGAAGTGGGTCACGCTATTTGGGCTGGAAAAAGTTAGACTTCATTCTAGAGAGCTGAAATCATCGCAAGAAGAATCAGTTGAAGGTTGAAGAGAGAGAGAGAGAGAGAGAGAGAGAGAAGCAAAAGGGAGGGGAAGAGAAACAGATACTTAAAATTAAGAATCTTACAAGCAATGTCATGTTTTATTTATGTTATTTATGTTATAATAATATTATAATATTTAGCAAAGCGACTGTGAAAGTGTTGTCTTTTTGTTGTATCCATTTTCCTGCAGTGTGCTTCATCAGTCCCCCCCCCAACTTCCCACAGTGCTTTCCCACAAAAGAGGTTTTTGTATGCTATTTATACTGCATGCAGGAGGACTGAGTGATAATTACAAGTGCAATGATTCAAATCAGAACAAGTAAAAGTAAAAATCGGCAAAAAAAGATGTTGAAGTGAATGTTGTAATTCACACTTTACTTATTAAGGCTGTGGCAGCATTGCTTTGTGGAGCAGTTGGCATTTGCCTGTTCTATGAGGTTATTTCTCTCTTTATGAGTGCTGCGCATGACTGCAAAATGATAAGTGTAGAGAGAAGCACTGGCTCTTTGTCCACATTAAAACCCTTAGAAATGCATCTACTCCTTTTCCCTCATTAAACAAATACAGAATGCAAATGTTTCTAGTCAAGTTTCTACATCACACTAGTCTCACATACT